TAGGTTGGTTTTAGTTTTGCACTGAACAGTCTTATACATGTCTCTGGCACATATGTACAGGAATATTTCTTGTTTGTGTATTTTTTCCTATTTAATAATGTAATTGAAAAACTTCAGAATTTTATAAAAAATTGATGATGCAGGATTATATATCCCTTCATAAATTCATCTCAAATCATTTTGTATTTATATTAGTGGAATAATGCCTTTAATCAACAGTTGTGTTAAAACATTTTATTCCTTCATTTAGTATTGCACACAAATTTATTGACTGTAAATGTTAAATGTTAGCTTTTTTGCTAGCAGGAGAATTTAAGATAAGCAGTAAAGAATATAGCCAACAACTCTATTAGTTGTTGATTAAGCCAACAACTAAGTAATAATTATTGTTCATTGAAAGCTTACTGTGCTAGTCATTATGTTAAGCAGTGTATATGCATTATTTCTGTATTAGTCTACTAGGACTATTTTGTCATAACAAAATATCCCAAACTAAATGACTTAAACAACAGAAATTTACTATCTCACAGTTCTGGAGGCTAGGAGTCTGAGATCAGTGGTGTTGACAGGGCTGGTTTCTGCAGAGGGCTGTGAAGAGTCTGTATATGCTTCTTTCTTACCTTCTGGCAGTTGACTGGCAATAGTTAGCAGTAGTTTGGATATAGAATCATCACCCTGATCTCTGCTTTCTTTTCTCCTTATGTCCTCCCTGTGTGAATCTATCTCCAAATTTTCCCATTTATGTAAGGACACCAATCTTATTATTTGTTTTCCCCCTAATGATCTCATTTTAGCTTGATAAAGATACTACCTCCAGATAAGGTCACATTCTGCGGTACTAGGGGTCAGGACTTCAATATATGAATTTGGAGTGAGGGAGAAGAAGGGACGCAGTTAAACCCCTAACAGTCGCTTTTAGGTTTTACAACGATCTTCTCTCACTTTTAAGCCTTAATATACTGTTCATATAACACATTATACTGCTGTAAAAACCCTAGCTATTAAAAAGTAACTTATGCCTTATTCCAAAACAAGATGGCATAAACTAGTATTTCCCTGTACCTCTCCTCTAAATACATATAATTAAAGTATCTGTAAATTACTTAACATAGAATAATAGTAGGAATCTAAATGCTGGAAAGAAGGTAAACTGATGGTGGACCTCTCAGGACTTAGGAAATAGCAATGCAGGGTTCTTTGGGTTTTCCTTTATCTGCTGTATATCCTGAACTTCTGTGGATCATGCCAACAACCGAAACTCATCAAATAAATACACAAAAAACAAGAAGAATCTGTTCTCACTGGTGTCACAGTACTAGGAAAGTAGAGTTCCAAGACTTGTTACATTGGAGTCCTAGTAAGTGGATTAAACTGTAGGTAACAGTTAAGCCTTGGACTGTCCCAACTCCATTCCACACCGGAAGCACGGGTAAATAATTTGGAGGACAGTTTGACCCAGCAGCAAAGCTGTGGCCAACCCTGCCCCGTTTAAAAACTAGGGCAGTGGTAGGTGATTCCATCTATACATAGCAGCACCACAAACCCCAGTGTCTTCCTGCTTCCTGCCCAGTGATAATGAGACCAGGCCCAGTGACATATGCCTCCAAATTATCTGGAAATCTCTGAATAATAGAAGGCGGCCCAGGGAAGCAACTTCCATCCTCATAAAATAGCACCAATAGTGATTAAGTAAGGAGCTCCATAGTACCAGAAGAATGTAGCAGATCACCATATCATTGCAAGCATTCAGAAAGCCAAGCTGTCGTTAGAACTACAACCCACAAAACTAGTCTAGAACCTAAATGCTAAATCTAAACTGACTGGTAAAATAGAAGTTATATAAATGGTATCAAGAGTCTTATAACATAATTACCAAAATATTTAAAACATAGTAAAAAATCACTAGTCATGCCAAGAATCAGAAAAATCATGGCTTGAATGAGAAAGGACATTGAGTTGATATCAGTACCAAGCTGACTCAGAGACTTGATTTTATTAGACAAGAATTTTAAAGTTGCTATAAACAGATGCACCAGCAAATCATTTAAAATGCTCTAGAATGAATGAAAAAAAAAGGAAAATCTCAGCGAAGAGATAAGAAAACCAGTGACATTATATAATTAAAAAGTAAAATAACCAAAATTTGAGATTCATAGGATATATTCAGTAGTAGAGATGAGATGACAAAAAATAGAATCAGTGAATTTTAAGACATCAGTCAAATTTACTCGGTGTGAACAACAGAGAGAAAAAAAGACTGAAGAAAATGATGAGACTCTTAAGGATCTAAAGGACACAAAACCCCAAAATTTAACCTTTGTAACATCAGAGCCCAAAGGACAGGAGACTGTGCAACTGAAAAAAATATTTAAAGAAATAATGGTTGAAAACTTTACACATTTGGTGAGAGACAAGAATCTCCAGATTCAAGAAACTGAACAGATCCCCAAATAGGGTAAACTGAAACAAATCCTCATCAAGAAATATTATTAACCTTCTAAAAGTAAAAGACAAAGAAAACAATCTTAAAATAGAGAAAATGACACATTACCTACAAAAAGGACAATTTGAATGACAAAAACAAAATAGACCCAAAACAAGCAGAATGAGGGAAATAATTAAGAGTAGCAGTCTTTGAAAGTGAAACCAATAAAATTATTGATAAATTTAGTAAAATGTAAAACTCATTCTTAGAAATGGTCAATGAAATGTCTAGCACAACTCACAAGAAAATTGACGCAAATTACCAGTATCAGGAAATAAATGGACATAATACTACAGCTATTTTAGTGATTAAAAGGATAACTTTACACTCAAATTTAACAACTTAGAAGACATAAGCCAAGACTTCAAAAACCACAAACCATCAAAACCAGCCAAGTTGTAATAGATATCTTAAATAGCTCTATTTTGTTCTACAGTTATAGCTTTCACTCAGTCCTGTGTTTTCAAGTACAACATATTGTTAAGATTTTGTTACTAATAAAAAATGTTTTTATGGATATTGAATGAGGAAAAAAATTTCAAACTATTAATATTAATGTGTTAATATTAGGTGGAAAAATCAGACTAGTTATAGTAAAACTCTAATTTTGTATAACTAAACATGTATATATACATATGCATAGAAGGGAATTTAAAAAAGGGGAAATACTGGGCCTCCCTGGTGGCGCAAGGGATTAAGCACCTCACTATGAAGCAATCCGCAGCCTCTGCAGCAGGAGTTCGATCCCCAGCCAGCCAGAGAGCATCCCACATGGCACAGCAGACCTCTCCTGTCTTGTCTGCTGCTCCCCTCAGCAGTGTATTTCAGTCTGCCTGTTCTGCTCCCCACTCTGTCTCTGGTGAGTCCTCTCACCCCCCCACAGCATTTCTGGCCTGTACCCCAGTTCTTGTATACATAAATAAATAAATCTTAAAAAAATATAAATTAAAAATAAAAGGAGAAATACTTTTAAACTTCGAATTTCTTAGATGATAAAATTATGAATTTTTTACATTTTCTTTATTTCATAAATTTTCTGCAACGAACATCATTTGTTTTTATGAGGACAACTACATACGTATGTAAAGTAAGTGGATTCAGTTAAAACTAATTTCCAGTGGAAATGTTAATTCCAAAATTTGTTCATAAGCGTCCATTTGATTGTGATCTATAAGACCATTGGTGACCTGAAAAAATTTTCAGTCATGGCGGAATCAGAATCTAGAAGTAGTGGATTAAAAAATAAAGGGGAGGGCCTCCCCGGTGGCGCAACGGTTGAGCGCTGGGTTGCGAAGCTGCCCGCAGTCTCTGCAGCACCAGTTCAAACCCCACCTGCTCCCCGGCCACCAGAGGAGGGTCCCACATGGCGTGCAGACCTCTCCTGCCGCCCGCTGCTCCCCTCAGCAGCATACTTCGGTCCTTCTGCCTGCTCTGCTCCCAGCTCTGGTGAATTCGCTCACCCTCCCGCGCTTCTGACTGTACCCAGTGCTTGTATAAATAAATAAAAATAAATCTTAAAAAATAAATAAATAAATAAAATTTCTAAAGATAAATAAATAAATAAAGGGGAAACACAAAAATGAAAGTAATGAATATAAAAAGTACTCTTTCAACAAGCTGATAAAACGACATCAGATAGGGAAGTAGGACTGATGATGTTTTCAAGTTGGGAGGAACTTCAAGTGTGCTTTTCTCCCGAAGGAAGAAAAAAATGCAATTTGACAATCCGATATTTTATTTTATTTTATTTTTAAAGATTTATTTATTTTTATACAAGAATTGGGGTACAGGCCAGACATGCAGGGTGAGAGGATTCACCAGAGACAAGTGGGGAACAGAACAGGATTGCTGAGGGGAGCAGCAGGTGAGACAGGAGAGGTCTGTTCCACCATGTGGGTTTCTCCCTGGCCGGCCGGGAATCGAACTCGTGCTGCAGTGGCTGCGGATTGCTTAATAGGTTGCATCTTAACCCCTGCGCCACCAGGGAGGCCCAGACAATCTGATATTTTAATTGAAGGATTTAATAATTTCTATTAAGATAATTCTATATTTATGATGAACTGTTAAATGAGTCAGTTTGTGATTGGATATGATCATTTGCAGTATAGGAAAATGAATTACCTTAGTGCAAAGTGTGAACTCAAGTATTTTATATTGTATGTGTGTATTTTGTATGTAATGTATCATGTAGAAATGGATTGGCCCTTTGTAAAGGAAAAATTTTGATTTGGGGTTTTGTCAACCTCCAAAGCAGTTTCAAAAACCTGTTTACTAAAATGACTAATAAAAACATAGCTGCTCTCTTTTTTGAATACTTATGTTTGAGGTTCTCTTGCTTCCTTCTGTTCTCACGTAATGTATTGGGTAAATTGACATGCCAGAGTTTGTTACTAGTTGATCAGCTAGAGATGATGAGTATTTGCCAAAAGAAGTAAAGTGGCACCTGGATATTCCTAGGTAAGATGCTGATGTAGCCTTAGTCATTCTTTAAACTTAGTACTTAAATGATAAACAGGGAATCCTGCAAAACCTGGCAGCTATGTATGGAGGCAGGCCCAGCTCTTCAAGAGGAGGGAAGCCAAGAAACAAAGAGGAAGAGGTATGCTTCCCGCATGTTCGCTACCTCGTCACAGCCATTTTTGAGTTTATTGCCTTCTTTTCTTGCATGGTTAAAATTCTTAACAATTATTTGAGGATTTTGTAGGTCTGTAGGGGCCTATTAATATATTTTGGCTGACATACTACATTATAATTTTGTCCCATAACTGTTATTCAGTATTCTGAGTTCACTTTCTTTTCTTTTGATAAAATTAAAACTTTGTAATTTTAATGTATTTTCAGAAGTAAGTTGATCTAAATTAAACACTTGAAAGCTAATATTACATTTTCATTAACCAGATTTCAACGCTTTTATTTCTTGTATTCGGATTAACACTTCCTTAAATTAAAAATTTTAGCAGTAAAAATCTTGATAGTTTTTGTTTTAAATAAAATGCTGTTTTTCTCTTTGTAGGTTTATTTGGCAAGGCTGAAGCAAATAAGACTGCAAAATTTCAATGAACGCCAACAGATTAGAGCCAAACTTCGTGGTGAAAAGGCAGGTTGAAAATCAATTTTTTAAAGTGGAATTTAGGAACATTTAATTGACTGTTTATAATAGATTAAAATGATTTTATAAAAGATTAAGAATGCTATACCACTAACAAAAAATAAAAACTGATATAGTAAAAGTCAAAGACCAGAAAAATTTTAATTAGGGATAATTAAATCATAAATACAGTATATATTCAGTAAATCATATATACAGATATGGGGATTTAAAATTGGTAAAGGCATTTATTCCATAGGAATTCTGAAAGGAAAATATAAGTAGAACCTATGGACATAAAAGGGACATTTTTTATTATTCTCTTTTTATCTTTTATCCGTTGTGCAAGAGTTGACAGTTGTGAAAATTTGTAGCTATGAGAAAATTAGCAGTGTTGAACAACTTTCCATTTTATATTTTTAGATGTTAGTATGTTCATACCACTTTCCACAGAACTCAGTGCAGAATTTGAATGTCTGTCCTAAATGGTTTTTCTACTTATTTTGCAGAAAGGAACTGATAGTCCCAGAGGACAAGAAGGAAGTGAGGAAACTGATGTGAGGCGCAAAAAAATTGAAGCATTGAAGGTATAGACGAGTAATGATATTAGAAATGTTTTCAAAGAGAAAGTTGAAACCTCAGATGAATAGTTGCATTCTTAAGTCTGACTTTGTTAAATCACCTATTAGCTTGCCTTCATTTTTCTTTCCATTATCCCTCACTTTTTGGTTTCTGAAAAAGAGCATTTTTTCTGTCATATATTTATGAAAAGAAATTTGATGAAAGCCTGGCATAAGTACATGAAACTCTTACACAAATAACCTTAAAAAGAAAGAATGAAAACCTTCAAAGTGAAAAAAATATGGTTGTCCATTTCTATGAAGATAAATGAGGTTTATGTTTAGTTATCATAAGTAAATTTTTCACATTTATATTTTTGTTAGAATTTACCTGTGTTTATTTTCATTGAACGAATACTTACTGAGCAGTGCTGTGTGTTGATCCCTGGTCTAGTGCTAGTGAGTAAACATGGATTTTTTATTCTGAAAATACACATAATTACACACACGCACTTTTTTAGTTACTAAATAAATATCTTCACAGATTTTTAAAAAACCTCTCTGGTAACTAATTTGTTGTTTGTTTTTATTTTCAGGCTCAAGCAAATGCACGTGCTGCTGTGATAAAAGAACAATTAGAGCGAAAAAGAAAGGAAGCATATGATCGAGAAAGGAAAATATGGGAAGAGCAGGTAAGATTTAGTTTATATTCTTCCTCTTGTATTAATATTCTTGTATCTCTTACTGGTAATATCAGCATTATAATTTTATTCTACTTTTTTTTTCTCATTCTTCCTCCCTCACTCTTTTCTCTCCTGCTGTCCTTATCTCTGTCACTCTGTCTCTCTTATAATCAAGGATGATCTATGTGGATGTTATTTTGGGGTTTGATTTGAGATGACAGCCTATTTTATTTTTAATTTTTTATGTTACCAAGCAGCTGATCAAAGTTCCAGTGTCATTTAATGACTACGGCTTCCTTCCTCTACTGATTTATGATGCTACCTCTAAGATACATTAAATTCTCATATATACTAGGGAATGAATTTATAACGTGTGTGTTGTGTGTGTGTGTGTGTGCATATATATATATATATAAAATGTACTTTTTACTGGGACTCTAACTTCTGCTCTAATACTCTTTCTGTCAGTTCTACCAGTACCTCATTATATTATGAGTGTAGACAATATTTTAATTTCTGATGGCGTTCTTCCCTCGTTTTTCCTTTACTCCTTTTTACATTTGTTTTCCTCAATTATTTGCTCTTTTTCTATCTTCCCTCCCCCTTACCTTCAGGTTGCTTCAATTCTACAGCCATATTTTTTAGGGTTGATTAGTGGTTTGATTTTGTCTGAACCTTTGTTTTGTTTCTCTATATTCCACATGTAAGTGAAACCATCTGGCATTTGTCTTTCTCCTTCGGACTTATTTCACTTAGTATCATCCCCACTGGTTCTATTCATGTTACAGATGGCTATAGTTCATCTTTTTTTATAGCTGAGTGGTATTCCACTGTTATATACACCGCATTTTTCCTTTTTTTGTTTTGCTGAAAATTTTTTGTTATAAATTTTTTAATTTATATTTATAATTTAATAAATTACCACTATTTTACATCCATCCTTGTTAGTTTTTTCACAATACAGCATTTTTCCCCCTCAGGTGTAGTCACCAAAGTTCTCCCACCACCAAAGCATCCATAATCCTCCACCATAGTCCATTGTCCTCTCCCCCATCTTGTTTTCTTCCTCTCTATACTGCTATCTTCCATAATGTCTCAGATCTGTGGTCAGCTTTCAGAGGTTGGTTTTAAAGTTTGTCTAATCCTTAGTTTGATTTCACTATATTCTATATATAAATGAAATCATCCATATTCCATAATTTTTTAATCCTTTATCCTTGGGCACTTGTGTGGTTTCCATAACTTAGCTATTGTCTGTAGTGCTACAGTGAAACCTTCCTTAGGCGAGGCAGGGAATCTGGAACATTCTCTTTTATGGAGATTACACTGTTACAGAACCACAAGAAAGAAGTTAGGCAGGTCAAGATAATGATGGCCATTTTGTCTGCCAAAGACCAGGAGCTGCCTCCCATGTTTCTCTTACCAGTGTGTCTCCTCCAAGTATCTCTCTCTGTCTTTCCTCCATATGTCATCTCCCATTTGTCTCCTCTGAGATCCCTTGCAGCAATACCATCTCCCTTTGTATATCCATCTTGCTCCTTCTCAGCTGTCCCCATTTGGGAAGTCCAGTTCTTGTCATGCTGGGATTTATAGTCCTCAGTGCCTGAGATCTCTCCAGTGTGGAGATGGGAATCGAATCTGTAAAAACATCAAGTGGTGCAGTGTTCCTCTAATAGCTCAAGTATGAAATAACTGGTAGTGCATCCCATCTTGCCTAAGACTGTCTAGTCTATGGGCCAAAAATCTACCTGGTTATAACTCTGTTTAAATTATAACTCTGTTTAAATCCAGTGTTTCTTATTTCCCTTTTTTCCTTCTTTGAGACATAGCATGAATAGGGTGTGAGTATGAAATAGTCACTGTGCTAACTTATTGCCTTTTCTCCTAGAGAAAATTGTAGCAACCAAATTTGTCAGAAATAGAAATAATTCATCGTTAGCATCAGAACCAATGATTTCTTCTGTTACCCAAATCCCTTTCAAACTTAACCCTGATCTGAAAATAATGTGAGCCTATTTGGTAGCATGTTTATGCAGTAGTTAGGGACAATGAGCTTTTGTTCTCTTGGGTTTATGTCTTCAACATAAGAAACAGAAACTTTTCATGTGCTGATTTGCATAGTGGGGCAATGATTATATCAAAATGAATCAATATGAAACTCACTGTGTGTTCTTTTTTAATCTGCTTTCCTAATGGGTAGTCTGCTGATGTTACCCTTATGTTCAGCTACACTCCTGCAGTTGTAAGCTTTAAGGGCCATTGCCCTCATAGTTTTTATTTTGTCTTTAATAACTCATGCCAGCAGTCTGCTTAGCACCTGTAGGTGATCACATTGATAATACATGTATTAAATATGATTAACTTAGGCTTGCTGCAAATCAGACTTTTCTTTAAAATGTGACCTTTATCCAGATTGCATGGGGGAGAAATCAAGTATTTGATAATAGTCTGTATAATTGTTTATGTGGTGCACTGTAATCTTGAAGATGGGTGAGCTACTCCATCTCTACTGAACTCAATATGCATGCATAGGCTCTATTGTGGCAGCAGGCCTATTGTAGTCCACTGCTGCACCATGCCCCCCAGTGTAGTGTGAGTGGTTATGTCCTAGTTTATATTATGATTGGCAGGTAGCATACTGAATTGGCATAGTTCACGTTTCCTTGATCTCAGGCACATGTTTCCTTTTCTTCTACTCATGAAGAAATGTTGTGATTCAGAATATTGTGCTTCCAACAACTCAAGTTAATATATATAAAGCTCATGCTTTATGTTCCTTTGCAAAAATCTGTTCTTGATCTGGAAACATGGCCCACAAACACCCATAAATTTGATCTTAAATACTTTTTATATAATAATTTTCTAAAGTACTGTTCCCCAAATAGAGTTTTTTTTTTTTTTTTTTATTTTTTAAAACCAGAAATTTATTGCGTGACTGCTGAAATCCTTAAGATGAACTGGATGCTGCAGCAGTGGCCCTCTTGGGTTTAGGTGTTGTTCCTTCACGGAATCCATGCCTGAATCTGTGGTATACAATTTTTAGGTGCCTCATTCGACCAGTCCCGGTGGTATTTCGCCTTTTAGCCTTGGCACTCCAGTTATACTTTCTCTTCCGCTTGGCAGGGTAGCCACACTTGCCGCAGGTTGACTTCTGAAGGTGGTAGGCCTTAGAGCCACAGTGGTGGCACAAGGTGTGCGTCTTATTGCGACGCTTTCCGAAAGATGACGTTCCTTTCGTCATCTTGCTTCTGCGGCCGGGACCAAAGAGGACGGAAGAGCCAAATAGAGTTCTTTTTATGGCTTGTTTCTCATTATCCTTCCCATTCAACACTATCATAATCACTGTCCAGGAGTAGGTATAAGCATGTACTTGATCATTCAGTAACTGTGTACATAATCTGTCTATTGAGTCAACTCTTTCATTTATTTCTTTGCTGCCTTATTCTCATTGGTGCTTGATACGTCCACTGACATCCCTGGATTGCAGTCCTACACTTGTAAGTGGAGCTGTATTACCTATTTTTTTCATTTAAACTATTGTATCATGGGACCCTTCTGCATATTCTTGGGACCCTTTCTGCATATTTCTTGCATTAATTCAGGCAGTATCAGTGGAAGTCTGTTCCTTGATTAGACTAGAAGCTATATATTGAATATGATAAGTTCCTCCTTTATTGTATTTAGATCTTTGTTACGTCTTTCATTTCCACCTTTGTTCTAGCCTTTCGACCTACCATAGTACTGTAAAACTTCCAGTGAACTCATTTCTGATCTATGGCTTCCTCAGAATTTCCTTATCCATTGTCTTGCCATCCAATCTCATGCATTTAATTAGACACATCATGCGACCAATTTGGAATCATGCTCCCTGTGCCAGGTGTCACTGGACATTAATAGAGTTTTAGAGAGACATCTCTGCAAGATATGTTTATTTGACATAAAGGATTCAAGAAAATCAAAGAATTCCACTTATGCTGCGGTTCTCTATTTCAGTTACTACTCTGATGACTTTTCTAGCATGAAGCTAAATTTCTTTTTTTTAAAAAAAAAAATATATATATATATATTTATTTATTTATACCAGCACTGGGTACAGTCAGAAGCTCGGGAGGGTGAGAGAATTTACCAGAGCCAGAGCTGGAGTGGGAGCAGAACAGGCAGAGTGACGAAGTACACTGCTGAGGGGAGCAGCCGGCAGCAGGAGAGGTCTGCGCGCCATGTGGGACTCTCGCCCGGCAGCCGGGAATCGAACAGGTGCTGCAGGCGGCTGGGGATCGAACCGGCGCTGCAGAGGCTGCAGTCAGCTTCGCAACCCAGTGCTCAACCGTTGCGCCACCAGGGAGGCCCTGAAGCTAAATTTCTCTAAGCAACAGGAGCGCAAGTTTCACAGTGGTAGTGGTGGTAGTGGAGGAAATAGGTGGAAAGAAGAAGGAAGGAAGCACCTATGGAAGCACTGCTTTTTATTTCAGCAAATGCTTTTTACAAATTATGTCTAATAATAACTCAGCTCTAGCAAGAGCTCTGCATTTTTATATAATATTTTTGTAATGGGCAGTTATATATTTGCATAGTAGCATAATTCTGCTTCCTTAGATAACCAGTTGGAGCCAACCTCTCTATTTCTAAAAGGCTGCAATCTATGTCATTACATCTATCCAATACACTTTAAAGGATTTTCATATACTTATTGATACAGTTCCAGAAAAATTCCTTAAGTGTCTTGCTTTCTGATTCACATTAAAACAACTGTAAAACTTTTTTCTCTATATATTTTTCTCCCTTTTAATAGTATTTCTTAGTTATAAAGTGCATGCAAATGACAGATTTCATTGCCTATATTATTGATAAATAAAAGCATTTTCTGGTATGGTACTTTGTATTCCTTTATGTCCCTTCAGAAGATTTTTATGTTGGCAGCATTGACCTGAGGTATGCATTGACCTGATCTGGCTCTTTAGGTCCAACAGGCAAGCAACAGATTTTCCTTTGGGAGAATTATTTTATTGTGTGTGCTTTTGGTAAAACTGTTAAACAAGGTGTCCTGGCTTCTTTCAGCTGAGGGTTAGGCTGTTCATCTAAAGTAGATCTGTTTGAATTCACTCCCAGGACTTGACATTTGAGCAGAATAGTGCAAGATTTGAAGTTGTAGTTTATTGAATCCTGTAAGAATACCTGATGAAACCATAAATTGGTTTCTTCTACCTAGGTCTGTAGAGCTGCCCTGGTTCCAGTACTTTTGGAGGACTTCCCTTTGGTTTTATGGCTCTACTTATAACCCTTTCTTTCGTCTCTTCTCTTCACCCTTTCTGTCCCTTTCTTTCCCACCTCCTCCACGTAAAGGTGCATAGCTTTGACATATCTTTAAATTGCTTTATATTCAAAATATGAAATCAATCCATTTAGTGATATTTTCCTAACATACATTAAATTCTTATTAATCATTCAGCATATAGAGATGAAATAGTACTTGTATTTACCTATGCTTCAAGAGTAGGTAAACTGATAATTTTGTGTGTTTGCAAACCTGGCCTCACTATTTGGTGCATTTTTGAGTTTTGTCATTTGGTGGCACTGTTCCATAAATTTTCAAGAAAATAAAATAGAAAAATGAAATAGAAGCTGTTTCACAGTGATAATTGAAAACCTTTTGTGGAAATAGAATCAGTATGGAAAAGTCTTGAATTGGTGAACCTGGTGAGAAATGGCTGGACTAAACAAGCCCCTAAAGCATTTTAATTTTTCAAGTTGCTTTATGAAACTTTAAGGTCAGTGGATTATTAATATTGCAAATGTATTAAAAATTGATTGAATTTCAAACACTTGTGCTAAAAAATATATATATACTACATATCTGGATCATCAATTTTGTAATAAAATTGTTTTTTTTTGTTTGTTTTAAGAGCTTATTTTTTGTCTACTGTGAAATTTTATTTCCTTAGTTTGGTTAATTTTTGTGTTTGTCATATTGAATCAACTTTTTTTTTTTTTAAGATTTTTTATTTATGCATACAAGAACTGGAGTTTAGACCAGAAGTGCGGGGGGTAAGAGGACCCACTAGAGACAGTGGGGAACAGAACAGGCAGATTGACCAAAAACACTGCTGAGGGGAGCAGCGGGAGAGACAGGAGAGGTCTGCTGCACCATGTGAGTTTCTCCCTGGCCGGCTGGGAATCAAACCCGTGCTGCAGAGGCTGTGGACAGCCCCACAGCACTGTGCTCAACCCACTGTGCAGTGGGCTGAAACAATATTGCCACATCTCAGTAGTTACCCTGAATTACTTTTAATTTTTTAATGACTGACTTAATTTTGTTATTGTTACTATATAAGTTAATAGAATGATTTGTTTGTCTTTGTTTTTTGGCTTAGATTTCCTGTATCTGAATTTTTTTTTTAATATTTATTTTGTGTGTAGAAGAATTGAGTTGTAGGCCAGAGGTGTGGGGAGTGAGAGGATTCACTAGAGACAGAGTAGAGAGCAGAACAGGTGGATTTACTGAAATACATTGCTGAGGGGAGCAGCAGACGAGACAGGAGAGGTCTGCTGCGCCATATGTGAGTTAGCTCTCTGGCCAAGGACTGAATTGAGGCCGTAGTGGTAATAGCGCTGAGACTTAACCCCTGGGCCACAAGGGAGGTCCCTGAAATTCTTAGCATGTTCATTATTTCAAGTTCTTCTGATCTGTTAGTTTAGGTGATGTACACAACATGTATTTATTTGCCATGTTTCTTTTTTTGATAAAATGTCTGTTCACATATTTTGGATTGTCTTTTTAATTGGATTGTCTTCTTATTATTGAGTCTTCAGAATTCTTTGTTTTGGCTAACAGACCATGATATCTTCTGCAGATATTTCCTCCTGTTTTGTGTCTTGTATTCTCTTCCCTTGACAGTTTCTTTCACAGAGCAATATTTTTGAATTTTAATGGAATCCAGGTGGTGGGTGCACTACAGGGGCAATAGCTCATTGGGGTATCCTAATATTGCTTAAAATAAAAATAATTTTAAAAAAGAACAACCTGGGCCTCCCTGGTGGCTCAGGACGTTAAGACGCAACCTATGAAGCTATCTGCAGCCACGGCAGCACGAGTTTGATCCCCGGCCAGGCAGCAACTCACATGGCACAGCAGACCTCTCCTGACTCATCCACTGCTCCCCTCAGCAGTGTATTTCAGTAGGTCTGCCTGTTCTGCTCCCCACTCTGTCTCTGGTAAATCCTCTCACGTACACCCCCACACACCTCTGGCCTGTATCCCAGTTCTCTTATGTATAAATAAATAAATTTTTTAAAAATTTAAAGAAAAATGATAAAGAACAACCTTTCTCCATTGAATTTACTTTGAAAATATTCCAGTGAGTTGCTCCATTGCTAAAGATTTAGGGTTATTGCTAAAGTTTATCATATTTATGTGCATCTGATTTTGTGCTCTCTATTCTATTCCATTGATCTGTTTTATTTTGTCACCAGTACAACATGTCTTGATTATTGTAGGTTTACAATAAGTCTTGAGGCCAGGTAGTATGGATCCTCCAATATGGTTTTCTCCTATAATACTGCGATGGCTATGTTTATCTTTTGAAGAAAATAAATTGAAGTAAAGTAAAAGTAAAAGTTCAGAAATATTATCAATGTATTGCTACCATATTTTCAGAAGATGCTGAATAAATAATAAGTCTGAAATGTGTATTCACCAGAAGTTCCCATTGACCAGTTTGAAAAATAGAGGTATTAAGCAAAATTGCTACCATATTACTGTCAGCATGTACATAAGTGCTATTTCCTATTATAAAAGGTTCAAAATCTTATTTCAGATTGTTTAGAGTATAAGTGGCAAGATAAAAATGAACATATATATGAATAAAACAAATTATATTTTTAATGAAGTAAATCTTTTAAAAAAAATTTTTATGAGGTATCATTGGTTTAAAACACTGTAGGTGTTTAAAGGTACAGGATTACACCCTTTGAAGTAAATCATATTACTACTTATATCTGTCATTTCTTCCATTCTCATTTATGTTGATATTTTTAATGAGGGCTCCTATGTTGGATGATAGATGTTCAAACTTAAAGATTGTAACAAATTTTAGAAATTTATTCTTCCTACCAAATGTTAAATTTAAAGTAAGAGGACTAATTCTTAATCTTTTAGAGGACAGTTTTTTCCAGATCATTTTATGAAGCATTGATAATGGAAAGGGATTATTTAGTACTACTCGTAAACAACTTGTGAACAATGATTATGTTTACATCTGAGGTCAGAGATGTTTCTAATTCACTCATCTTTCCCCAACACTTAGCACATTGCACAATAAAAACTAAAGAATAAAAAATATACTTGTGGATAGAGTGGATAGACTGTAATCTTGTCTATGCGATTTTATCTTTTCATGCAGATGTAAATTTCCCATTGTGTTTAAATTCTTTATTATAGTTGGTGGCTAAAGGAATGAAGAGTTCTGATGTTACTCTGCCGGTAGGGCAGAATGATGCAAGCGGCTCTCCATCAAAGCAGCAGATGAGATGTGTCATTTCAGTTACCTCAGCTTTGAAAGAAATGGGTATGGTAAGTTTCCTAAAATTTAGAACTGCTCAAAGTCAAAAGATTAATAAAAGTATTAAATTTAATGAAATTATATTACTTCCTAATCCTCTATTAGGTTTTCTAAGAAAAATATTTGCTTCTTAAGATTTGTAAGATTATATATGGTTTACTCTGAATATTAGCGCCTCGCTGCTCATAGGTTTTAACATCTAGGACTACCTGGTAGATAAAAATATATTACAGTGATTCTCTCTTTTACTTTAAAATAATAATGAACAAATAAAATATATTTAGAAATGTGCCCCAAGTAAAGCAACACACATTTTTATGGCCTAGCTCTCACAGTTAACAAGGACTCAATTTTTAAAATGTAACTGGGGCCTCCCTGGTGGTGTAGGCGGTTGAGCACAGCGCTGTGAAGCTGTCCACAGCGCAAGTTCGATTCCAGCCGATGGCGGAGATACCCACATGGCGCAGCAGACCTCTCCTGTCTAGCCCACTGCTCCCCTCAGCAGTGTATTTCAGTCAGTCTGCCTGTTCTGTTCCCCACTCTGTCTCTGGTGAAACCTCTCACCCTTCCACACATCTGGCCTGTACCTTGGTTCTTGTATGCATGCATAAAATAAATCTTAAAAAATAAATAAATAAAAATAGAATATAATCTGCATTTTTTTAAAGATTTATTTATTTATTTATACAAGCACTGAGTACAATCAGAAGCACGGGAGGGTGAGAGAATTCACCAGAATCAGAGCTGGGAGTAGAACAGGCAGATGGACCGAAATACACTGCTGAAGGGAGCAGTGGGTGGCAGGAGAGGTCTGCACGCCATGTGGGACCCTCGCCGGTGGCTGGGGATCGAACTGGCACTGCAGAGGCTGCGGGCAGCTTTGCAGCCCAGCGCTCAACTGCTGCTCCACCAGAGGAGGCCCTGCATTTGGTTTTTAATGTAACTAATTTTAGAAATGAAGTCTAACACATATTTACATTTATTGGTGATAGCGCTGAGACTTAAGCCCTAGGCCACCAGGGAGGCCGCCATATTTATATTCATTTGAAATTTGGTAGCATAGCAAATTTTAGAGGACTCTGTAAATATGTGTAATTCAAATACATTAATTTTTTTTTAAACCTTCTATTTTTTAATCTCTGTCATGCCATATGTATAGTAAAAGAGTGGACTAATAAAATCTTTAATCTTGGAAAATTATCTGTCCATCTAAATGTGAAAACTCTACTGTGGGGTTAAGGGAAATGTGCTCACAATGTGTACTAACAGCCTACAATTCAACAGACTGAAGGAAAAAGTATTGGATCATGTAATATAACAGATTAACCTGATTTTCTCCTTCCTGGTAATTAATGCCTGGTGTCTTTTATTTGTTAAGATTCATTAAGTTTTTGCAAACAACACTGGTGTTATTGTTACACCAATTTGTTTTTTTTTCTTGAAAATAAAACTGAATAGGAAAATACAAGTTTCTTGGTCACTCTCAAGAGCTTCATGTAAGAAATTACTGTTCTTCAAGTAGCTTTGACCTCTTTTTCTTTCTGATAATGACTTTGCATGTGCTACATTGTTCACTTCAGCTTTAGATACCACTGTGTGGTTCCCTTCCTGGTACCCAGTATCACATCTCAAGTAGCTGTTCATCTCTCTGGTTGTAGCGACTGCTAATTCCTGACTACTTTACTGGGTAAAATGCTCTTTGTCTCACTTACATGTATTTAAAACTGACCACTACATTCTTTTATATTTTCCCAAATACTGCAAAATTTGAGGTAATCCATGCAACGGAAGGGTTTTTCTTGGTAAATATAACTTACTTAAATTTTTGAAAATTGTTCTTCCTTACTCTAGGACCTTTGCTTTCATAACTACTAATGTCTTTTCACATATTTAAATATTAGGTGGTCTATAATGCTATGATACTAATCAAAAGACAGAATTTATATTATCAGTAGTATAAGGGACTCAGAACTTAATATTATTTTACTTTCTTTCCATAGGGAAAAGAACCAATTGTCAATTATATTTAGTTATATTATGTAATAAGACTATATGTTTATGAAACATAAAGACAGCTTCAAAATAACATAGCCTATCTTAAATTACTTTATCCATCAAGACTTTCTCTCTAGGAGAAATTATGAATTAATTTTCTTTTTATTTTTACTACTGACAAAATTACCAAAAATCAGGTATTAAAGAGAAGATAACTAAATATAAAATCATAATCTCGAAATATGACAAGTAATTGAGACTTGACCCTTCACTGTGTAGTAAACTTGTTGTTGTATTATTAAACTGTTTCTCATTGCTGACATAATGAAGGAAGCTGTGTTAATGTTTTCAAGGAATAAAAAATTCACAAGGAACAATTTAATGAAAAAAGTAAAAAATTAAGGTAGAGTTTTAAGATATTATTTCTTACTGTAACTATTTGTATTTAAAGGACAGAAGTTTAACTGATACCCAGGAAACTTCAGAAGAAATGCAAAAGACTAATGATGCTATCTCAGTAGGTACAATTTTCAAATTTTCTCTATTTAGCAATTTTACTTCATCATAGACTATTAAAACATAACTTTTAAATCTTTCAGAGTAAGAGAGAAATACTACGTAGATTAAATCAAAATCTTAAAGCTCAAGAAGATGAAAAAGGAAAGCAGTGTCACTCTGATACTTATGATGCTATTCATGAAGATGCCAAAGAGCATGAAAAAGAAAAATCAGTTTCCTCTGATCGCAAGAAATGGAAAGCAGGAAGTCAACTTGTGATTCCTCTAGATGAGTTAACATTGGACACATCCTTCTCTGAAAGTGAAAGTATGTGTAAAAGTGTTAACATTCCGTTTGGGTCTAGTACACGTGCAAGCTTAAAGAAAACACTAAAAGACAAAATGCTTAGAAGAATTGACAGAAGCTGGAAGAATTCTATATATGTGAAAAATGGAGAAAACTATTTAATCTTAATAGCAAGGATTTTTATTATAAAAATGTGTAGTGTGAGAGAGGGAACTAATGTTGTATATTTCACTTGTATTACTTTAACCCTTTCTACCATATTAGATTAACCTGTTATTAGGAATAATTCTGGATGAGAACCAGAGTAGTGAACTGAAAAAAATCTCAGCATGGTCCCTTAGGCTTTTCACAGAGGTATTGAAAAAGATCTGAGTTAATGATTTTTTCACCCATAAGTACTCAGTACCCACTATTGTCTTGCATTGTCCTAGACACTGGATATACAACAATGATGAACAAAAGTGTGCTCTTGTGGAGTTTACATTCTAAAAGGGCAAATCTAGCCATCAACTAACTACAGTTTTAAATCACTTTTTAATGGACTGTTTTTGTAGAATTATTTCGTATATTGGAAAAAAGCTCATAAAACCCATAGCATTTATTTTATGTATTCAACAGTTCTTTATTGTGGCCCATTATAAACCCCACACTCCTAAGTAATAAGGATATAGTAGTGATAAAGATATAGTCTCTCATCTTCAGGAGTTTAGGGTTTAGTGGAAAGGGAGGAAAGTAAAGAGGCAATTATGGTTGATAAGTAATATTCTGGGAGTAATCATAAGCTAATGTAAGCATTTGTATCAGACCATAAATCAGTCCTGGGAGAGCCACAGAAATTATTTCTGGAAAAAAGGATATGTTAAGGGGTAAAAGGTAGTTAGCTAAACTTAAAGCCAAAGAATATGTTTTGGACTGAGTGGCCAGAACCCAGAAGTGAGAAAACATACAAAATTCAGGACACTGGATATAATTCAACATCTGTATAATGTTCAGAATGACAAGCAAAAAGCCTTGGAAGAATTAAACAGGTCTAGATTATGAAGGGTCCTTATACATTCGCTTCATCAGTTATTTCTTTTATCTTCTGTTTCTGAACCTCCATCTTGCTGTATGGATAGTGAAACAAAGAAATGTGAGAAAGTAAAAGTTTAAACTTGGAAGTATGTGTCAGGTTTCTGTCTAAAATGCAAAAACTCTGTTTTGGGGTTAAGGAAAATTGACTCATGATGGGAATCTTTTCAGTTTACCATTCAAAAAAAAAAGAAACCTTTTCTCTACTTTTAATCCATCTATATGCATAGTTTATATTCTCTCAATTATATTGATAGAAAATTATATTTTATGTATTTTTGTGCTCCTCCAAATTAGTGCTTAATTATCTTAAGGCCTTTTAAAAAATTTTTTCAAATAAAAATTTATAGAGACTTGATTTGGTATTTTTCCAATTTTTATATTCTGCCAGATTAATTTACAAATAGTTTATTTTTTAATTAATTTTTTAAATTTATGTATATTTTAACTCATTGTTCTTTTTTTTTTTTTTTTTATGTCTTTTTTTTTTTTTTTTAAATAGAGGCATGTTTTATTTATTTATTTATTTGTTTGTTTGCTTGTTTTTTTGTTTATACATGCACTGGGTACAGTCAGAAGCGTGGGAGGGTGAGAGAATTCACCAGAGCCAGAGCGGGGAGCAGAACAGGCAGAAGGACCGAAGTACACTGCTGAGGGGAGCAGCGGCAGCAGGAGAGTCTGCGCGCCATGTGGGACCCTCCTCCAGTGGCCGGGGAGCAGCCGGGGATCGAACCGGCGCCGCAGAGGCCACGGGCAGCTTCACAACCCAGCGCTCAACCGCTGCGCCACCGGGGAGGCCCTGTTCTTTTTTTTTTTTTAAGATTTATTTATTTATGCATACAAGAGCTGGGGTACAGGCCAAAAATGCCAGGAGTGAGAGGATTCTCCAGAGACAGAGTGGGGAACAGAACAGGCAGACTGACTGAAATACAGTGCTGAGGGGAGCAGTGGGCGGGCGAGACAGGAGAGGTCTGTCGCGCCATATGGGTTGCTCTCTGGCCGGCCGGGGATAGAACTCATAGAGGCTGTGGATTGCTTTTTAGTGAAGTGCTTAACCCCTTGCGCCACCAGGGAGGCCCTCATTGTTCATTTTTGTACAATGCATGCTAGTATGCTTTCTCCTTTCAGGTGTATTTCCCATAAAATTCCCACCACCAGTTCACTGGTGCATCATCACCTATAGTCCCTTTTGCCCTTCTCCATTGTTTTGAATTCCTTTACTTCCTCCTCCCTTGCAGAATGTCTCTGATTTATATTTGCCTGCTAATTTTTTTATTATCATTATTTTTTTTTCCTGATCCCTTATTTTGTTCCCTATTTCCCTCCTTTAAGTGAAATCATTCAATATTTTCCTTTGTTTTTTCTGGCTTATTTCACTGAGCATAATCCCTTCTAGTTCCATCCATGTTGCTGCAAATAGCATGACTTTATCTTTTTGTTGTTGAATAGTATTCCATTGTGTATATATACCACATCTTCTTGATCCAGTCATCTATTTTTGGGCATTTGGGTTGTTTCCATATCTTACCTATTGTAAATAGTGCTGCAATAAACATACGGGTGCAGGTATTCTTTTGAATTAATGCTTTTGTGTCCTTTGGGTAGATTCCTAGGAGTGGAATTGCTGGGTCATATGGAAGCTCCATTTTTAGTAGTTTGATGAACCTCCACACAGCTTTCCATAGTATTTGGACTAGTTTGCATTTCCACCAGCAGTGTAAGAGAGTTCCTTTTTCTTCATGTCCTCACCAACATTTGTTGTTTCCTGTTTTTTTTAATATGTGCCATTCTCACTGGTGTAAGGTGGTATCTCATTGTGGTTTTGATTTGCATGTCCCTGATTATAAGTGATGTCGAACATTTTTTCATATGCCTGTTGGCCATTTGCATTTCCTCTTTGGAGAAGTGTCTTTTTAGCTCTTCTGCCTATTTTTTGACTGGATCATTTACTTTGTTTTTGTTGACTTGTATGAGTTCTTTGTAGATCTTTGTAATTCATAAATAGTTTAAAAGACAATTATAGATGTTTTTTATTACTGCTCTTTGTTGCTTCTCTTCTTTGTCTTTTAGCATTCATTTCCTAGAAGTCTTTTTTATTTTTAACATTATCATCATCATATGCTCTTTGAAATGTAACCCCTTTTTCTTTGTGCAGGACTCAATTGGATTCAAGTGTTTAAATCTACCTTATAATACATATTATTTTTATGCTCTTATTAAAAATTATTTTTTGTATCTCTGATAGATCATACAGTGGGAGAGGTTATTAAATTAGATCCTGGCGGATCTCCGAGAAGAGTCTGGGGGAAAAGCCCTACAGATTCTGTTCTAAAGATACTTGGAGAAGCTGAACTACAACCTCAGACAGAAATACTAGAAAACACGTCTCTTAGAAGTGGTAAGCTGAAACTAGCTGTTTTGCTATATTAGAAGTAACGTTAAATATCAGATTGTATTTAAGATAATGGTTATTTTAGTGAATTTTTTTGTAATTATCATTTTGTAGTAATTCACTAATTACATGGAAAATGATTATATCTTCTGGGCACTTGTTATCTCAAGTGGTAGTCTTAAGTTTTAATCTGATATAACCGGGACGAAATCTGAAAATGTAATGTGGAAGGAGCCAGAAAAGTAGAACATCAGATTGATATTTACATGAAAAAAGTTGTAAGAGCAATATATTGAAATGAATGATGTATGTTTTCATGTGGATTCAGCTTCATTCAGGAATTTGACTGACTGAAAGATACCTATAGTAGGTATGAAAGACATTATCCCAGGACTGGAGAAGGTAAGTTGTTTTGAGGCAGGAGAAATACACTTATGATCCACACATGTTATGGATCTTGGTATTAAGCTATGCATAAAGAAGTGTGTCCAATTATAAAATAGATCTTGTCAGATTTTTCAGTTTTACTTAAGTGATGAAAAACTTGAATATAATTTTTCTGTTTTTGGAAATTGTGACTAAGCATGATTGTGATGTCACCTTTGTGCTGTATCTGCTTTTCTTTTTCTTTTTTTCACTGTCTCTCCTTAAATATTAGAGTGAAACTCATATCAAAACTGCCTGAAAAATAACATAAGAGGTGAGAATCTTCACATCATGTTCGAAGAAATTAACCAGATGTTGAAAAATTTTATACACATATTATGAACCTATAAACAAAAGTGGATTGTTCTTTCCTTATTAAGGATGAAACTCGTAGCCATTAATTAATTCTAGCATTATCATTAATATTAAAGGAAAGAAACAATTTGAGTGAAGAATATATTTAACCATTTGTTTGATAAAAGAGCAAGTACACAAAGTATATTTTAATTAATTTTTCATACTCCAATATGGTTGGTTATATGCTAGACTTTAAGCAAAAACAAAAATACTTGTAACTTAATATTCTTACATCTTGGTCTGAGTCTTTTCTCAAAATGGCCTAGGCTTTGTTCAGGAAAAGTCCGTAGTCTAAAGGATTTTCAAAAACTGATAAAAATTTCTGATGATAGAGTCTAAGTCTCCTGTTTATCTTCATTCCTATTAGAACTATTTAAAAACATAAGATTCTGAGTCTTCTTAGGTATAATATTTATTGCTTAAATATATGTAATTTAGTTCAGAATAATTTCTAGGCATTGTAAAGTAGGGCTTTCCTTCTCAGTAGTAAACTAAATCATCTGCATAAAATTTGAACTTACCGAATTAACTTATTTTACGATTTGCTTCATTTCTTTAAAACTTAATTTCCCGGGCCTCCCCGGTGGCACAACGGGTTGAGCATAGCGCCATGAAGCTGTCCCCAGCCTCTGCAGCGCCGGATCAATTCCCAGCTGGCTAGGGAGATTCCCACATGGTGTGGCAGACCTCTCCTGTCATACCCACTGTTCCCCTCAGCAGTGCTTTTGGTCTCTCTCCTTGTTCTGCTCCCCACTCTGTCTCTGGTGAATCCTCTCACCCTCCTGTGCCTCTGGCCTGTACCCCAGCTATTGTATAAATAAAAAAATAAATCTTAAAAAAAAATTTAATTTCCCAATTATTGAACATTTTTAAGCTATGTGCATTATTACATGTTAGGTGATCAAGTGTAAAGAATTAAAATATTATCCTTGTTCTCAGGGGACAGATACAAATGAAAACAAAGAAATGATATATGAAAAGGGCAAGAATAAAAATCTGCACAAGATTAAGAAGTAGAAGGAGATGTTTAAGTAATTAACTTTATCTCAGTAAAGTTAAAGTTAATTAACCCTTAGATAGTTAAGACTTCAAAGTATTGTCATCTTCATTTTTATTTTTTCCCTAACTACACTCAGAAGAAAATGATTTATGATGAGACTTTACGACAAAGAAGGTATAGTTCTTATAATCAAAAAACTCACATGTGACAAAGTCTGTGGTAGAGCTATTGTGCCTGAAAAGCTATGAACCTCAAATGGGGATGCTTTCTGTTATCAATACAGTTTAATAATGATGATATGACAGTTTTAGGTCAGGGAAAGATACAGAGAAAGCAGATAATTTTGAGATAGGCCATGGATTAAAAAAGAGCATTGGTTGGATAAGAGAGAAAATGAAATTCCAGGCTAAAAGTCTGACTCCAAATTAGTGTGTGTGTGTGTGTGTGTGTGTGTGTGTGTGTAGGGAGTTGTTTCCATACCTTCCAAGCCATTCTTGGACACCAGCCAGGTTTCCTACGATTCAGCTCAATTTTGACACAATATCTGGAGATAGTGTCAGCTCTCACAGGTTAAAAGATCAGTCCTACAGAACAGCCCTCTGTCCCACCCTTCATTTCAGATGCCAATTAAAAGCCCAGATTATTTCTCTGCTTCTAACCCACTGGCCAAAGACCCATCAACTAAATTAGTTATGACGAAATTAGTGTTGAGGAGGGATGTCCTGACAGTGAGCTAGAAAGTTTTATCTTAAGGAGTGAATGGCATTGATAGGGTGTCTTGTAGATAACTTTCATAGTTATGAAGTAAATGCATTCTCTTTATATTAATTAAAAATATGGAGAGTTTGGCCTCCCTCCTGGCACAAGGGATTAAGTACTGCACTATGAAGCAACCCGCAGCCTCTGCAGCACGAGTTCGATCCCCAGCCAGCCAGGGAGAAACCACAAGGTGAAGTAGACCTCTCCTGTCTTGCCTGCTGCTCCCCTCAGCAGTGTATTTCAGTCAGTCTGCCTGTTCTGTTCCCCACTCTGTCTGGTGAGTCCTCTCCCCCTCCACATCTCTGGCCTGCACCCCAGCTTTTGTATGCATGAATAAATAAATCTTAAAAAAAAAATATGGAGAGTTTTGTAGCAATTAAAAATAACTAACAATTGTCAGAAACAAACACAATTATTTTAAAAATACCATTGACACATATATATTAGTTTCACCAAAAGGAAGACGAATGTAAACTATGTTAATCTTGTTAGAAATCATTGTACGTATATACAATTAAAGTGAAATTTGATAATCATCTACCTCAATCATTTATTAGTTTTGTGGCCATAACTTAAAGTAATTCACTGCTATAAAAGTACAATTTTTGATCTTTTCCCTTAATACTATTACAGGTAAAATTCAGGTCATTTTGAAAATGTAGGATGATTTTTCATGTTTTGTTTTATCAGAGATTTCTCCTGAAGGGGAGGTGTGTAACCCCCTAACTACTAAAGAAGAAAAAGTTAACTGTGACTGTGTTTCCCTTGAAATGAACCTATCAGCTGCTGTTGATTATCCTGTTCTGACAAACAGTCCAAAGATTTTTGAGGCCTCTCCACAGACATCATTGAAACCAGAAGGAAATTTGGACGGTATGTTTTAATGTGTCAAAATTAACTGTTTTTGATATTACTTTAATTTCTTCTTTATAAACAAATCATCAAAATATGTGTACAGTGTTTTTATACTTTTAGAGATAGGCCTGTTTTCTTATTGCTACATGCTAAATCAATCCAAAGTTTAGTGTTGCATAAATAACCATTTTATCTATGTAACATGATTTTGTGCATTAGGAATTAAGTCAAGACTTCACTAATGTAATTTTTCTAATTCATGTGCTGTTGTCTTTGGGAAGGCTTGGTGTGGTTCAGCTGGCAGCCAGGCTGATCCAAAATGGCTTCACTAATATACTGCAGTTATAGAGCTAGTTTTTGCTGGCCCCTTTCTCTTTCTCTGTAGTCTCTATGCCTTCCTCTGCACTCTTTCCAGCAAGGTGGTTTGACTTTTTATATGGTTGCCCAGGGATTAGCAGATACTTAGCTACAACTGCTTATTCTCTTAAAAGCTAATCTCAGAACTGGCAGAAGATCACTGGCATACTAAGGACTCAGTTTGTCCTAGTGGTCACAGACCAGTCTAGATTCAAAGGGAAGAGAAAATGAGCCTACCTCTCAAAGGTTAGAGAGTTAAAGGTTTTGCAGCCATCCTTAATCTGCCATGGTCTACTGTCTTACTGGAAACAATTTACATTCCTCCCACATGCAAAATACATTCACCCCTTCTGAATACCTTCTTATGAAATTGACTCAAGATCTAAAGAGGTTATCAAAGTCAGACCTGTGACCAGGTGAGTTTCATTGGGTACAGCTATTTGAGTACAGTTACTATCACCCTGAACACTTGTAAATGAAAAAGGTAGCATACAATGATGAAACAGGAATAAAGACTCCTTTTCAAAAACAAGGGAAAAGGGAGGCACATGGCAATCATTACTCCATAGAAGTTCTGAAATCCAGTCAAGAAGCGCTGTCAGCCTTTTCCTTTGCACCAAAGTTGGTGCCCTCAAAGGCTCTTTTTCTCAGAATTTTTTTTGTCCCTTCCAATCCAACTTGGTGGTGCTTCTGCCAGTAGAATTTTCTTATTAATAATTTTGTGGGTTTTGGGGCCTCCCTGGTGGCGTAAGGGGTTAAGACACAGCACTATGAAGCTGTCCACAGCCACTGCAGCACGAGTTCGATCCCCAGCCAGGGAGGTGACCCACATGGCGCAGCAGACCTCTCCTGACTTGCCTGCTGCTCCCCTCAGCAGTGTATTTCAATCAGTCTGCCTGTTCTGTTCCCCACTCTGTCTCTGGTGAATCCTCTCACCCCCCCATACCTCTGGCCTATACCCTAGTTCTTGGATGCATCAATAAATCTTTATAAAATAATAATAATAATTTTGTGGGTTTTGTGTGAATGTTATTGACAGTTGCTGCATTTGACAAAAACTATTTTTTATACTGACATGATCCTTTTCTCCCTTGAGTCTTGAGTTGCCTGTGAGGATTCTATGAGATGGTGCACATGAGATTCTTAGAAAAACTTTTGTCTGACAAGGCTTGCTTTTGAATCTTTCTGTGCCATAGCAGGGGGCCCTTATGGCCACACCTTTGGCTTCAGTTTTGCTCTAAGACCACACTTTACTGCCCTGAATTTAGTGTTTGTCTTGAGGCTATGTCTTCCCTTGAGAAGCATTTGTTGCCTAGAAGGAATTTGCGTAGGCTTTCTCTTCTAAACTCATCTCATACATTAAGCAGTTCATTCTTCAATTAATCTCTGTTTTTGTACTTTATCAGCGGCTACTAGAAGAAGTTAGCCTGCATCTTCAATATTCTGCTTAGATACCTCTGATCATTTTTTTTCTATGAATAATCTCACCAACAGTCAGTTTCCTTGAAACCCTGCCTACTGCCCTGTCCCAATACCAGTGTACAGATTTTAGTCTTTTTTTTTCAGTACCCCATTGAAATAATTCTCTTTCAGTTATGTATTCCTATAAAATAAATTACTCCCAAATATTAGTGGCTAAAATAATTTTTATTTTATCACACAATTATAAATTAGGAATTCTCCATGAAGCATCAGTATCATTAAGTGACCCTAGAGAATGCAAGATGATGTCCCGCCCATGAATAGTCTTTAGGCAAGGTTGCTCAGATGGCCCTTCTTCATTTTAGCCTCAGGGTCTGAGCATGTGTAGTTAAACTTCTTTCATGGTGGCTTAGGCTTCCACATTTCCAAGGCAGAAGCTACCGGAAAGACTAGACCTGGTGGAACGGGAATAGCAACACTCTGACTGTATTCTGTTGATGATGACAGTTATAGTACCAGCCCTAATTCAAGGGGAGAAGAAACACCCCCCTCTAGATAAGAGAAATAGCAGAGCCCTTGCAGTATGTGTGACCATCTTTAATTCACCACAGTAGCTTGAATAGTCTTTTTAGGACATAGTAGGTCTTTAATGCCTTTTTTTTGGAAAAAATAAAACCATCTTTGGTTTATAATAGAAACTGTACAGCCCAGTGCATGGGTCGGCAAACTTTATAGAGCCAGCTAGTAAATATTTTCATTTTTGGAGGCAGATATAGTTGCAAATCTACTTTGTAGGAAGAGTCATATTGATACAGCTCATGTACTAGAAAACAGTTACTCACTAAAAAATAAAAAGGATTTCCCCCTGCCCAGGTGTTTATCTTCTAAAAATGAAAAAAAAGTCATTTGAATAAAGGATAAAAATTTTAAGGATTGGTACAGTATCATCTCTCTGAATAGTAGGATAACTAGTTGGAAACTTTTAAGAATATGCAGATTCCGGGAAAAAAAAGAGGGTGTGTGAATCTCCCTGGTGGCACAGGGGTTAAAGTATCAACATTATCAAGCTGTCACAAGCCAATGCTACAGGAGTTCTATCCCTAGCCAGGGCGCTGACCCACATGGCACAGCAAACCTCTCCTGTCTCACCTACTGCTCCCCTCAGCAGTGTATTTCAGTAGATCCACCTGTTCTGCTCCCCACTCTATTTCTGGTGAATCCTCTTACCCGCCCCCACCCCCCCTACCTCTGGCCTACACTCCAGTTCTTGTATCCATAATAAATAAAAAATAAACCTTTAAAAAAAGGTGTTATGGTGGCTTAAAAAAGATAATAATAATCAAAATTGGAGATGAGAAAGGAAAGTGAAACAATAAGGAAGAACCTCTCTTCTCATCATTTTTTACTTTCAGGAAATAGCAACCAGATTAAAACTGAACCATTGCCAGAAAATAGAGATTACTCTAGGTATTAATTATTTGAGGGTCTAGGAAAATAGATTTATTAGTGCACTTTAATTAAGTCCTCAGTATCATTGTAAAAGTACAGGTAATAGGAGTTTTTTGGGGGGTAAAGGGGGAGTCATTGAAAGATAAATTTTGATGATTGAAATTTCCTATAACTTGTACATCATTCTTTAAATTTGTTTTTGTACCTTTAAGCCAATTTACATACTGCTAGGCTTTCAATTAAGAGGACATTTTATATAATGATGAAAAATAGAGTATATAATATTTGAGTATTTTTCAGTGAAAATACAAAAGGAAACATCTGTCATTTCAGAAACAATTGAACTAGAGAATTAACATAGGTAAAAAGTAACAAGATTAAATTTCTATAGACAAAATACTTAGTTTTTTGTTATAATTAATATATTATCCTAAAATTAGGTAATGATAATTTATAGAAAGTTTATTCAACTTTCTCTAAATGAATTTTGCTTTGAGACTTGTCTTTTTTTTTTATTATTAAAAATTTTTGCTTTTCAGGACCTGATGACTTGGAAACAGAAGTTTTACAAGAACCAAATGGAACAAAGAAAAATGGAAACTTGCCATGCGCTATTGATGCATGGATTAATGAGGTGCAAGAAACAAAGGAAACTGAGTATGTTGCCTCTTTTCCTTACCTTTGGTTCCCTTTTTTGTGACAGTTTTTTATGAAATACTATAATGACCTGACATTGCAGTATTATATCTTAATAATATAAAGCCTCATAAAAATAATTTAATTTAAAAATAAATATTACATTCATGTGGTTTTGAACTCAACACGTATCTAAATATAAATATACAGGCACACAATGGAGATAATTCCACGATCTTCTTTGGTTCCATGCTATTGCAATAGAGAATCTCCCAAAGTGATTCACATTCTTTTCAGTTTTCCCAGCGCTTATAAAGTTACATTTACACTATACTGTAGGGTTTTAATTATGCAATAGCTTTTGTCCAAAAATAATAATGTACATAATTTAAGAAGTTTCCATAGAAAATTCATTCCTTTTTTTAAAAAAATATTTTATTTTATATAATTCTTACATCATTTTTCATTTTTGCACAATGTATGCATTTTCATTTTGGTTATGTTCCCCATACAATTGCACCCCCTTTATTTTGACCCTAATCCTTTCTCTCCCCGCCCCCCACCCTGTGTGTCTCTGGTTTATAGTTGCTTGTTGATTTTGATTTTTACTTTATTATAATTAGTCTTTTTCCTGGTCCTTATTTATTAGGTTTTCTAAATTCCTGCTATGAGTGAGACCATCCAGTATTTTTCTTTTTCTTTCTGGCTTATTTCGCTGAGCATGATCCCTTCTAGCTCCATCCATGTTGCTGCAAATTGCATGAGTTTATCTTTTTTGATTGCTGAGTAATATTCCATTGTGTATATGTACCACAACTTCTTGATCCAGTCCTCTATTTTTGGGCATTTGGGTTGTTTCCATAGCTAGCTATTTTACATAGTAAAAATATGGAATGCTTCATGAATTTGCATGTCATCCTTGCACAAGGCCATGCAAATCTTCTCTGTATCATTCCAATTTTAGTGTATGTGCTGCCGAAGCAAACACTGAAAATTCATTCTTTAATATAGCCACCATCCTCAATTTAATTAGCTAGATCTGGGTAAGTTAGTGTAGCTTCTACATTAGTACTTGTTGCTTCATCTTGGATTTTTATGTCAATCAGATGGCTTGCCTTAATCCTCACTTACCAACCTCTGCTAACTTCAATTTTTTTTTTCTGTAACTTTAGCAACTCTGTCAGCCTTTACAGAATAGAAGAAAGTTAGGACCTTGCTATGGGTTAGGCTTTGGTTTGAGGGAATTTTGTGGCTGGTGTGATCCTCCATCCAAACCACTAAAACTCTTAAATCAGCAGTGAGGCTGGTTTTCTTGTCATTCATGTGTTTCCTGGCGTAGACCTTTTAATATCCTTCAGGAACTTTTCCTTTGCATTCACAACTTGGCTAATAGTTTGATGGAAGAGACCTAGCTTTCCAGCCTATCTCAGCTTTCAACATGCCTTCCTCACTAAGTTTAATCATTCCTAACTTGATGTAAAGTGAATGTGCAACTCTTCCTTTTGCTTACAGGCCATTGTGTAGTTATTAATTGGCATAATTCCAATATTGTTGTGTCTCAGGGAATCAGAAGGCCTGAAAAGAGGGGCAGACAGGAGAACTTCTGGTTATTTAGAACATACACAATATTTATCAATTAAATTCACCATCTTATATGGGCACAGTTTGTCAGCTCCAAAACTATTGTAATAGTAACATCAAAAATCACTGGTCATACATCATAGTAATAGATCTGATTATAGGTGTTGGGAAACTTACAAATCAAAACCACAATGAGAAGTCATCTCACCCCTTTGAGAAAAAACATGAAACTTCCTATTTCCCCCATAGCCTTACCAGAATTTTAATATTCTACACTATTAAGGAACATTTTGATTGTTGAAAGGAGTTCTCACACTTTGTCAAGCATTAGATTAGTATGAGATTTATAAAAATAAATTGCTGAGCCTCCCCTGGTGGTGCAGCGGTTGAGCGCTGGGCTGAGAAGCTGCCCACAGCCTCTGCAGCGCCGGTTCCATCCCCAGCCTCCTGGCAAGGGTCCCACATGGCGTGCAGACCTCTCCTGCCATGCCTGCTGCTCCCCTCAGCAGTGTATTTCGTCAGTCTGCCTGTTCTGCTCCCCGCTCTGGCTCTGGTGAATTCTCTCACCCTCCTGTGCTTCTGACTGTACCCAGTGCTTGTATAAATAAATAAATAAATCTTCAAAAAAAAAAATCTAAAAAAAAACAAAATAAATTGCTGGTACTTACTCCCCAAAGTTTCTGATTCATAGGTCCAGGGTAGGGCCTAGGAATTTTCGTTTCTAACAAGTTTCCATGTGTTCCTGTTACCTAGGGGTTATACTTTTGGAGTCACTGTTGTAAAAATTATTGAAGGTACTTGTGCATGATTGTGACTGGTAAAGCTTTGAACTGGGTAAAAAAATACAATGTACTTAGGCAAGTAAACATACAAATGAGAAAAATATTTGAAAGAGGGATCACAGGATGCTAGTGAACTTGTATTCCATTTGTTTTTTTTAATTTGAGAGTGCTTTTACTTATTTATAAATACTGGTATTTCCTGGTCTGTCCATCTGAGACAGGTTGGAAAATAGGATCACCATTCAGCAAAATGAAGTTTCTGAAAATGGAGTTTCGAGGAATGTGGATCAACATAGTGAAGTTCTAACAGGTAAGCAGCATTGCATTAATCTGATTACTTTGTGGAAGATTGTTAACACCTGTTTTATTTGGACAACATGTAAATGAAGCATTACTTACAAGTCACCTCAGTCATTTAAAAAATGTAACAGGCATGGAGCACTGGAATATGCATTAAGTCTACCAAGAACAATAAAATTTTTTGTCACTTATTTTATCAAATGTACAAAATGCAAAGACTTACCAAGTCTATAAGTACATTAAAGTTATTCATTTTTTAATATTAATTAAAATATAAGAAATGCCATTTTCTCCTAATTTCTAGGAACAGAGATAAAATAGAACTAAATATGTGTTTCTAAAAAATACTTTTTTTTGCATTTCCTTGTATTTGTGTATACATTTTAGAAGTTCCAAGTATATAATTATATGACATTAAAGCTGTTTTGTAAATACGAAATTTTATATCCTGTTAAAGATTATAATATGATCACATGTATATTTTGATACTGTTTTTCTGACAAAATATGGAGGTTTTTTTGGTGAAACTTATGTTAAATACTGTGTGTTTTCAGTATCACTGAGAACTTTAAGTGTTACATAGACTTATCATATGATCTTTCCTTTATACCACAGAACCTGGAATAGATGATTCTCAGCACTCTAAATGTGCTGTAGATAAATCTATGCAACCAGAACCATTTTTTCATAAGGTGGTTCATTCTCAACACTTGAACTTAGTGTCTCAAAATCAATCAGTTTCATGTTCACCAGAAGAATCCTTCCCGCTTCGATCTCGCTCTGATTCACCACCAAAAACTAAAAGCAAGAATTCCTTGCTGATTGGACTTTCAACTGGTCTGTTTGATGCAAACAACCCAAAGGCAAGTATGCTCCTCAAATGGCAAATTTTATCCATGTGTAACAATTCTCTCAATTCCAGTTTAAAACTCAAATATACACACACAAACATGAAAACAACAACAAAGACCCCTCTGTCTTCTCTTCCAAGAAGAGATACTATGAAGAAATTGTCATTCAAAGTACAAATAGGACAAAAACTTTTTAAAAAAAAAATTTTGAGTTACAGTTTTGCTCATCATATGTGCATATGTTCCACTCCCCTTCAACCAAACCACACATGCCATTACCCCCTCTGCCTCCCTTCCTCATCCCCTCCCACCAGCAAAAACTATTATATACTCTCTGTTTAGGATTTTTTTTGGTATTTACCTGACCCAACTTGCATTTTTAGTGTGAGACTAAACCTAGCAGATATACTTTAATGGATAAAAGTGCCACATTGCCTAATAATGAATATAGAAAGAGTCATAGATGTTTTATGCTCTTCCTGGTAGCAGTTTTTCAGACCTCCTTTCACACTTGCAATTTTTAAAAATATCTAGTCAGTTTTTCTTACTAAGAATTTAGAAGATTATAGAAAATTTAAAAATAAATATAATAAATCACATTTGGTGTTTTGCTTTTCATACATGTAACTTTTACCTATAAAACTTTTTACCAAAATAGGATATAATACACTTTTGAACCTTCTTCTTATTTTAATATGTATTGTAAAATTATTACAAATAATATTATTATAAAATAGCTTTTTCTCATATTGTCAGATAATCTCTCATCATCTTTAGTGACCACAAATCCTATTATACTGATATATAATTTTTAAAATTAATCTTTTTTATTGTGCCTTTAACTTCCAATTTTTGTTACTAGGTACACCTATATTTTTGTGTATACTCACAATTATATCCAAAAAATAAATTTCTATAAGTAGAATTCAGAAAGTTATATATGCCTGACTTCCCTTCAAGGAACAGTTTACAGTGCTATCAATAAATAGCATGTGATCGTCTATATCCTAATAATACCAACAATTATAACTTATTTAAAATTTGTGTGTTCAAAATAAGTAATGAAATTGACTTTTTAATTTGTGTTTCTGTGTTTACAAATGAGATTGAACATGTTTCATTAATTTAATTCTGTGTATGACTGAATTACTTGAATACTTTCATCCTTGACTGTTTTTACATGTCATTTTGATTTCTAATTTAGTTTTCCACTTGGATATGTTTTTATCTTGTTGAGTGTTATCTTAAATATAGAGATTGCTAAGTTCTCTCCAGTTAGATTACTAAATTCCAATAGCAGACAGACTTGGAAAGATATAAACTACCAAAATAAATTTATGTTCTTCAGAGTTACAGAAAAAGACCTGTTGATAGGGCAGAGATTATCCTAGAATCCATGTGCTTTCTTTTGTGTAAATATTTATAGCTATCTTTACCCCAGAGCTCTTTAATAAGTTGTTGCTTCCTATAAAGTAATATGCCTTGATAGTACATTTTATTTTCTTCATGACCTTAGTTCAGCCTTAGTAGTTCTTGTAAAATGCATACACAATACATTGCCAAATTTCTTGTACCTTTTTCTCTCTCACCTTTTTTGGCTTCTCTTCTTTGAACAGAGTTGATACTCACTTTATAAATCATTTTATCTGCTGACTACCTTTAAATCATAATTTCCTAGTTTTCCTCTGTACTCATTAATCACTTCATTTTCCTATGCTAGCAATTATTACTACTAGCAGATCTCTTTAAAATAATAGGTATTTATGTCTCATTGGATGAAGTATTCTGTAAACCTTGAGAATTAATAGTGTTGTTTAAGTCTTCTTCATCTTACTGATTTTTTTGGCATACTTTACCAGTTACTGAAAAAAGCAGATTAAAATACTTGTATAATTTCAGTTTTTCCTTTCACTTAATGTCAAGTTTGAAGTTCTGCTATTTTTGAGTGAATAAAAATGTAATACTGTCATGTCTTCTGGATGAACTGATATATTTATTATTATTGAAGTATCCTCCTTAAATAGTATCATTCAAATCTTCTATAGCCTTACTGATTTTCTATTTGTTTATCAATTCCTGAGAAATGAGTATTGAAATATCCAGTTAGTTGAATGTAAGTTAATCATCTTAATGTCTCTTTTATGAGAAGACTCTTATTATTATTATTACCAATCAAATCATGTTGTTCCCAAATGTACCTTAGTTTTAATATACAGTCCAGTTTTGTTAAGCTTGGTGTTTATACATTTTTTATACCCTTCTAATCAAAGTGATCTTATATTTCAGTTTCTTATTCTCATATATTCAAAACTTGCTTTTTAAGCAGTCTGACAATCTTTTAATTAAAGTGATTTTACTTGTTCCCCCCCCCCCCCATTTTTTAAAAATTTATTTTTGTGTGGAAGAACTGGAATTTAGGCCAAAGGTGCAGGGGTCAGGGAGAAGGTTTGTGAGAGGATTCACCAGAGACAGAGTGAGAAGTGGAACAGGAGGATTTACTGAAATACACTGCTGAGAGGAGCAGCAGGCCAGACAGGAGAGGTCTGCTGTACCCTATGTGGGTTAGCTCCCTGCAGGGGATTGAACTCAGACTGTAGTGGTGATAGTGCTGAGACTTAACCCCTAGGCCACCAAAAAGGCCCCTATTCTCCCTTCTTTTGAAGGAAAAATTATTTCTAGTATTTGCTATATAAGATTGACTTTTTCAAATTTGTATTTATTGGTAAATATCATTTTTCAAAATACATCTTTACCATTTTATATATAACATGAGAACTTCATGTAGTACATTTCCATTTGTACTATCTGGCCTGCTTTCTTGAAACTCTTTTCATGTTTTAATTCCATGTGTATTATAACTCCACAATACATTTTACTATGTTTTTTAAAATTTTTTTAACTTTGACTATTTTAATTTTATTTATTTTATTTTTATTTATATGTATTTTACATCATTGTTCCTTTTTTTACAATGTTTGCTTTCTTTTCTCAGGTATAGTCCCCATAGAATTTCTCCCACCAGTTCATCCATCCATGCACCATCACCATAGTCTCTTTTGCTCTTCCCTCTGTTGTTTTGATAATGTGTTTACTTTAAACATTATATTTTCTTTTACAGAAAGTATAAATTCAGAAAATCTTTTATATTTACGTATTTGCCATTTCTGACATACTTCATTCCTTTCTGTAGAATTTTCTGCTCCTTTTTTTCTTCTAGTTTAAGCTTCTTTTATCACTTCTTGTTCAGCCCTGTTACTGATAAAGTTTTTTCAGTTTTTATTTAGGTAAGAACATTTTTGCATCACTTTCATTTTGTTTTTTAAAAATTTATATTTATATATTTATGCATACAAGAACTGGGGTGCAGGCCAGAGATGTGGGGAGTGAAGTATTTACCATAGACAAAGTGGGGAGCCGAACAGGCAGATCTACTGGAATACACTGCTGAGGGGAGCAGCGGGTGAGACAGGAGAGGTCTGCTGCGCCATGTAGGTGAGCTCCCTGGCTGGGAATTGATCTCATGCTGCAGTGTTGAGGCTTTAACTCCTGTGCCACCAGGGAGGCCCATCACTTTCATTTTTAAAGAATATTTCCATTAGATCTACAGTTATATTTTCTTCTACTTGCTGGCAACACTGTATATATATCAAGTACCACTTTCATAAGGTAGTTGTAAGAGAGTGACTTGATAAAATTAGAGTATAGCACTTAAAGAACATAATTTAAAGTAAACTTGAAGGTAAATTTGCAGCAGATCAAAATCGTCTAAAGATGTGATTGTCTTATATGACTCACAGAAGACAAGTCTAGGTTGCCAAACGAAAAAGTTGCTTGTCCTTCCCTTTAGACTGTCCTTGCTTTAGGGGCTAGTAAATAGGGGGTGAAGAGAAAGCAGGGGTGCGCCACCCATATTTTTTTTTTGGGAGTGGAGTAGAAAACTGATCCCCTCTATGAAAACTTGAGAATTATTTTTCTTGTTCCAGTAAATGCAGAGTGGGGGAAAGTATTAATGTACAATTCACAAATAGTACAATTGCCTTAAATGTCATCTTTTGGTCTAAAAATACAGATTTTTTTTAGGTTATGTCCATAATTTTTGCCTTTGGTGAAAGTTCATAATTTTTAATGTTTCAAATCTCTTTTAACCTGGTTTATGTTTTAAAGAGAGCCAGATATTTGTAGATGTAGTTTTGAGGGAGCAAAGTTACCATTTAAATGCACTAAGCAGTGGCTAACAAATGTGTTCATCATAAACCATTTTGTAGTTTAACCAGAGTATTACTAGTTCATAAACTTACATGAAAAATTATACAGATTAAAAAGTGGGTTGTTAAAATACTTTAAAGATGAATTTCAGTTGGAGCATCTAGTCCTTAATTTATTCACTCACATGGTTCTCTTCATTTTTGAGAAAAAATAGAACTTAACCACGAACAAAAACATGTAAAGGAAGTATATATTTTGAAAAATGTTTTAAGGTTTCCAAAAACATTATTCTCCTGCTCTATGTTTTTTAATGGGACCAAATGCTAACTCTGTATCATGCAACAAAGAATCTAGAGAAAATTAAGTCTGACTATAAATGAAACAAATTAGTATGAAACAAAGTAGGCAACATGTTATGAATGTATAGCTATTTTCAGGAACATTTCTATGAGTGTTAAAACTATAGAATATCATTTAAATGACACAAAAAAAGTGGAATCCAAATTATAGCACTTAAAGGTTTCTTATATAAATTTTTTCTGACTGAAGAATATCCCATTTAATACTTTAATAGTCTTATTGAAGACTGAACATAAAGCATTTTTTTCATATGTGGCAGATAGCTGTTGGATTGGTGTTTAGACCAACAAGAGAAAGGTTGTTAGATTGTGTACCAGTTTAAATTCTCTGTATTATTGTATGTTAGTTTATGAAATTAATTTTAATTAGTGAAAAGACTAAACTAGAATTGAGATTATTTTACCTGGATAAAATTTATCTCAACCTGAAAAATGTTACATCCTTTTGTGTAGTCCCCATGAATTTAAGTATATAATGCATATATGCTGCTTATTTTTATTGATTTGAATATATCTGAAGAGACTGTTACTGGATGTACATTTTGCATACCACTCTCCTATATTAAACATGGTTGAAGCCATTAGAATAAACAGACAGGCCATACATAAATTCTCATGACAGTGGAAGATTCAGCAAAAGAAATACTTACAGTACCATTATTAAATGTTTTAACAAGCAGTGTATCTTTACCATCTTGTAGTTCATCACTTTTTCCCCCTTGAGTGTTATAATATGTAAATTATGTTCAAATAATGGAAATCTATCCTTTTTTATTCTCAAAAACAGATTGTACCAATAAAATTGGCCAAGTACATAAATTTTCATTAATATGCTAAACATTGTGTTTTCTTCACAGTTTCCCATCTGGTATAAGGTTCTTATCACAGCCATGTTTCAAATGGCACAGATTCCTTTAAGGTTACATAACCCCAAGACTTACATGTATATAAGTATTTGTTTAGTAATCCTGCCTGTCCATCACCTTTTAATTGTGAAAAGTTGTTTGACAGAGGGGATTCCAATCAGTAACTATTGTTATCCAGAACAGTCAAATTTTAACACCTCAACTATGCATTGTTTTTCCTCAGCTCAGTTTGCTGAGTACCTTCTCACCCTGCTGCTATAAATGATCCTCAGTAGGAATATCAAACTACCTGTCTTTCCAGTTTTCCATTCTAGCTGTAAAGGCTCCACTCACAGTCCAATGTTCAAGGAAGCAATGTTCAGCTTTTCATTGTGCTAATTTGAGCCCCCTGGATTTAATCAGTGTTGTTTAGCCTGCAACTCCTAAGATAAAAGGATACAGGTGTCCACCATTGATGTGTGTTGGTACTTAGCCAAACTTCAGAATAACTCACTCTAAGATTTGGGCAAAAATCCATGGGGAGGGTTGTCCTTGTGACAGTGAGAGGAGGAGGAAGAAGGACTAAATTGGCAGTTTCTAGTACTGCCTGAATACTGAAAGATCTCCAATTTCATTGCATGTCTATACCCCAAATAAATACATCTCCCTACTTTTAAATGTGCTTAAATGAATACCTTCATGTTAAGACAAAAATCAAACATCACAAGTTTATTTTCTTTTCTGAAAAAAATGCTGAGCTGAAATTCAAGAGAGTTAAGAGTATAACCTGAAACTTCTAGCTCTAAATATATGATACAAGCCAAATTATTTTAGTGTACAATTTTCTAATTTTTCTTTTCTAATTATTTTACTCCTAATAGGAAATATGTTGATTTTTTTGTTTTCTTAAAGATGTTGAGGACATGTTCACTTCCAGATCTCTCAAAGCTGTTTAGAACTCTGATGGATGTTCCCATTGTAGGAGATGTACATCAAGACAATCTTGAAATAGATGAAATTGAAGAGGAGCACATTAAAGAAGGACCTTCTGATTCTGAAGACATGTGAGTATTATGTCATTTATAGATGCTAGCACTAATAGAGTTTCTGAATTTACATATAAATTCTAGAGATGGTGACTTACCTAGACACTTTTAAAAAATGGTCAGTAGCTGGGCCTCCCTGGTGGCCCAGCAGTTGAGCGCTGGGTTGCGAAGCTGCCCGCAGCCTCTGCAGCGCCGGTTCGATCCCCGGCTGCTCCCCGGCCACCGGAGGAGGGTCCCACATGGTGCGCAGACCTCTCCTGCCGCCCGCTGCTCCCCTCAGCAGTGTACTTCGGTCCTTCTGCCTGCTCTGCTCCCCACTCTGGCTCTGGTGAATTCTCTCACCCTCCCATGCTTCTGACTGTACCCAGTGCTTGTATGTATAAATAAATAAATAAATGAATGAATAAATAAATCTTTAAAATGTTTAAAAAAAAAAAAAAAAAAAAAAATGGTCAGTAGCTGATTTCTTACTGCTCCTTTAACTTCTAACAACATATTTATGGTGTAACCATGTAACTTTTGACACATATACACATACACACACACATATATGTATCTACCAGTAAATAATGTAATAATTCAACCTCTCTTGAGAGGTATCAGAAAATGTTTTGTATTTGTGTTCTCTAATTCACCACTGAACATTCAGCACACTGTCTTATACTTGGTAGGTCTTAATATTGATTAAATGAATGATTGGTAGCAGAGTAATAACTAATAGTGCACCACCACACAATAGGAAATTTTGAAGTACTTATTACTCTAGAATTGTCTAGGAAAATGCCCAGAAAGTTCTACATCTGTCTTCCCATTATATGATTTCAAAACCTGGCAATGAGGAGTTAACAGGTAGGATAGGTGTTTTGTTTGTGTCTGTGTATGTGAGTGTGCACATGTGTGTTCTGCATGTAACTTGATTGCTCTCACAAAAATTATTTTCTTCACAATTTATGAGGAATCTAGAATTCATGAAGGAAATCTAACCAGCAATATTTCTAAGAGTTGTCAGAAATGATGGCCCATAAACAACCCTCTCAGCCCCTCAGACAAATATTATAGACTTATTTTGGGAAATAAAATACAAGTATCCTGCAATAAAGTATTTGACAAGGTACAATGTGATCAAATCACAAAATATGTATGATTTCCTTTTTTTTTTTTTAAGTTTCTGCTTTTTTAGCTCTGCCTTTCAGTAGAAAGAACTGTATTTGAATCTGATTGAAAGCATTATATCAGTCTTACGTTTTTCCCCCGTAATACTTGAGTCTGAGCCATTGCAGCTGGAACATTTTATTTTATGGCTTTTTTAACTTTTTAAAAAAAAATTTTTTAATTAAAAAAATTTTAATTTAAAAAAAAATTTTAATTTTTTAAATACTTAAAAAAATTTTAAGATTTATTTTATTGTATTTATTTATGCATAGAAGAACTGGGGTGTAGGTGAGAGGTGTGGGGGGGTGAGAGGATTCACCAGAGACAGAGTAGGGAGCAGAACAGGCAGATTTGCTGAAATACACTGCTGAAGGGAGCAGCAAGTGAGACAGGCCAGGGTCAGCTTCCTGGCAGGATGTTGAACTCATGCTGCAGCAGCTGGTGATTGATGGCACTAAGACTTTAACCTCTGTTCCACCAGGGAGGCCCTAAAAGTTGGTACTTTAAAAGATTTCTCTTTTCCCCCCATTTTTCACATAGTTCTGTAAGTTTTTGCTGATGCCCTCAGAATTTGGAGGAAGAGTTGTTTACCTTGTTTTCTTCTACTTGGCTATGTTTATTGAGCACTTTAACTTGTGTTCTTATTAAGCCTGTTAGAGAGCACAGCATTCCAGTACCTTTATCATTGACAAAGTGCAAGTTAATATTTTCCCCTACATTTTTATAAAATAATGTTTTTACTGATTGAACTATAACTTCTTTGTAACTGTGTTCTTTTAATTTTTAATATTAGTTTTAATTTACAACTAAAATATATTTTTAAAATGTTACTCCTTGTCCATATTAGGAAATTCACTTGAATTTTTTTTCCTTTGGGGAAAAAAAAACATTTTTAATCCATCCTTAAGTTCCTGTAAGAAAGGCTATTAAAAAATTAATTCAGGACCAACTATTTGAATACTCATTTTATAAAAGATCTTAATCTCCTATTTTTCTTGCAATGGCAAACCTAGCAGTCCTGATTACTTTAATACCACCTGTAGAGGGCTCTAATTCCTTTAGACTGAATACTAGAAGATTTTATCAACAGGTTAATGTTTAGTCAATGTAGTAATAATAATGTAGGCTAATAATTTAGCCTAGCAGATGTGTATAGTAGTATTAGTATGTTAGTCTTACAATTACATATTTCGTTAATTGCTACTAGTAAAATGATCCAGAAGATTATAGATATACTGTCTCATAATTAGATGCCTCACTTTTCTATAGTTGCTCCAAAGTTAAAATGAAGGTATTTATATACAAAATAAAGATATTATTCCTACATTAATAATTTTCTTTTAATTTTATTCAACACCTCATATGTAATATTGATATTTTAGTTCTTCAATAAGTATTTGTTTATTTGATTAGAGTCTAAACTTTAAGAAAGACTTTAATACTCCCTGTGTCCTGTTCAGCACTGTTTTTCTGGTGGATGAAATGTTCAACATGGGTACATATTTTCTTTCAAAGAACTTTATAATTATAAATTTATTTTTTAAATTTTATTGGGGAATGAAGGCCAGAGAGGTGGGGAGTGAGAGGATTCACTAGAGACAGGGTGAGGAGCACAACAGGCAGTGTACTGAAATACACTGCTAAAGGGAGCTGTGGGTGGGACAGGAGAGGTCTGCTCTGCAATATATAGGTCAGCTCCCTGGCTGGGGATTGAACTCAGGCTGTAGCAGTGACAGCACTGAGACTTAACCTTAGGCCACCAGGGAAGCCCAAACTTCGTAATTCTGGAACCTCATTTAACACTTAGTCTACAAGCTTTTCCATTTGCATGCAGATTTAGGAGAAAGAAGCAACTCCTAAGAGAAATAAAGATGATTATTATTTTTTTGGTATTATAGAAGTGACTAGAAGACCTAGATTTCAATTCTTTATATCTATTTATTGGTTGTGTGGTCCTGAACAGTTCATTTAAAATCTTTGATTCACAGTTTTCCATGTCTCCGAAGTGAGTTTAGTGTGGGTAAAATTTGAACAACAAGGGCCTCCCCGGTGGCGCAGCGGTTGAGCGCTGGGTTGCAAAGCTGCCCGCAGCCTCTGCAGCACCGGTTCGATCCCCGGATGCTCCCTGGCCACCGGAGGAGGGTCCCACATGGCGCGCAGACCTCTCCTGCCGCCCGCTGCTCCCCTCAGCAGTGTGCTTCGGTCCTTCTGCCTGCTCTGCTCCCTGCTCTGTCTCTGGTGAATTCTCTCACCCTCCCGCGCTTCTGACTGTACCCAGTGCTTGTATAAATAAATAAAAAATAAATAAATCTTTAAAAAAAAAAAAAGAAAAAAAAATTTGAACAATAAAACTGCTTAATAAACGAAAGTACTATATGAATGTAAGATATTACTTGCATAAATTAGTTCATTCCAGCATCTGTAATCCTATGAAAATAGAATTAATATCCTATTGTTTGGAAGCAAGATTCTCCAGTGAATTTTGGTTAATATATACTGATTACACATTGAAGTTTATTCTTTTTATTATATATTTTTGAAATATTTTTCAGAAAAAGTGTCTAAGGATAAGATATCTGGTGACTGCTTTATTCACTAGATCATCCTTCTAATGTGAACATTTAATTCCCCAAATATTTCCATTTCTAAAAATTCAGATGTCCAGTGAGCATTTATTTGGAAAGCCTTTAAGTTTTTTTGTTTTTTTAAAGATTTATTTATTTGTACAAGCACTGGGTACAGTCAGAAGCGCGGGAGGGTGAGAGAATTCACCAGAGCCAGAGCGGGGAGCAGAGCAGGCAGAAGGACCGAAGCACACCGCTGAGGGGAGCAGCGGGCGGCAGGAGAGGTCTGTGCTCCATGTGGGATCCTTGCCTAGCAGGCGGGGATCAAACTGGTGCTGCAGAGGCTGCGGGCAGCTTCGCAACCCAGCGCTCAACCATTGCGCCACCGGGGAGCCCCCAGAAAGCCTTTAAGTTTAATGTACTATTATTTTATATCTACATCATGATTTTGCTAAACTTTCAAAATTACAGAAAAGAAAAATTTTTGAGTATTAAGTATGTATTTTAGAAGTCAAGGGAAAAACTTTAGTTTGTCCTTTTCAAATATTGAAACATTCTTTCAAAATTTAGGTAACAATATTATGAGTTAAATGATTCTGTTTGGCAAATCAGGACTGTTTTAAACAAATCCTCTCTGGCTTACATATTCCACATGTGCATGTGTTATATTTATCAATTGTATTAATCCTCATTTCCTTTGTAAGAACAATTAATATGTAGGCTTTCTCAGATTTCTTTTCATCCACTATTTTTAATTTTAAGTAGAAGGGAGTACATGCATATTGAAGCAAAACTTTAGAAGGTAAAGTTTTGGTAATGTTTAGTTTTATTGTTTAAATTTCAGTGTGTTTGAAGAAGCTGACACAGATTTACAAGAGCTTCAGGCCTCTATGGAACAATTACTTAGGGAACAACCTGGGGAAGAATACAGTGAGGAGGAGGAATCAGTCTTGAAGAACAGTGATGTAGAGCAGACTGCAAATGGTACAGAGCTGGCAGATGAGGATGACAATCCCAGCAGTGAAAGTGTCCTAAATGAAGAGTGGCACTCAGGTCCGTGAGTGCGATTGTGGGTCTTTTTCTTTTTTGGTGTTTTTTTCAAGTAGAATATATTTTTCTGATCTCTGATATGAGCCATTTCTAACTTTACATAAAACTAAAGTATGCTTTTGTACATATTTTTTTCTTTTCACACACATGTGCATACTCATTTGTTCCCACTTCTTTCCCGTTAAGTTATAGAAATGTGTTTTGGAAACAGTTTTATTGTTATTTGTCCTCCATTTCTTGACTTATTTTTTAGTAACAAAGATAGTAATTTAGTTTTCTTAGCGCTTTGTCTTACAAAGAGCTTCCACATACAGTGATTAATTAGGTAATACTGAAAGACCTTTTAAAAACTTGATACTTTCTGGTTTGGAGACTATTCTTTGTTGTGGCATTACCCTTAGGATATATAGACAATTTTGTATTTCAATAACTGTATGATATTTTGGGTGGAGGAAGAATTAAAGTGAAAAGTAATTTCAATTGATTTGTCTTTTACTTGAATTTTTCAAAATATCTTGGGCATATACATGGCATAAATATATTGAGCATTTATAACGCTTTCTAGGTATTTTCCCAAAGTTTTGTGATATGTATTGTAGCTCATCTCCCTTGCATTCCTTTTATCCTTTTTATCAACTTTTTTTCCCCTTACATCATTGTTCATTTTATATAATATTTGATTTCTTGCCTCAAGTGTAGTCCCCGTTTCCCCACCACCACTTTTTGTCAACTTTTTAAAAATAGTGGTTAGGGTTGGTTGCCTTGATGCAGCATATATGGGTATGCGTTTTCCATTTTTTACTGAGTTAAATAATATCTAGGAATATTTTTATTCTAACCTGATTTAAAATTTATGTCTATAAAAGATTCTCATAGTAACATTCTTGTTAAGACATATATATATATAATTATAGGTAACCTATATAAATAACTATTATCATGACAAAAACGATATTTGAAGTACAAATCATCTATTTCAGTGACATTATTTACATGTAATAGAACTTTATTAGGGTAAGAATTATTTTATCCTGTTTCCGTTTTCAAACATAAAATGTCTTTATTCCTGTCTTTTAGATAACAGTGATGGTGAGATTACTAGTGAGTGTGAATATGATAGTGTTTTTAACCATTTAGAAGAATTGCGACTTCACTTGGAACAGGAAATAGGTTTTGAAAAGTTCTTTGAGGTTTATGAGAAAATAAAGGTAAGTAAGATGTCAATTAGACCATTTAACTTTGAAATATGCTCGGTTTGAATTACTAATGAATTATCACTGATCTTTATTGGTCTGTAGTATTATCATAAATAACAAATATTTTACTAGAGAAAGTTAACTTCAAATATTAATTTGTATTTGAAAATTTGGTTTAGGCTATTCATGAAGATGAAGATGAAAATGTTGAGATTTGTTCAACAGTAGTCCAGAATATTTTGGGAAATGAACATCAGCATCTTTATGCCAAGATTCTTCATTTAGTCATGGCAGATGGAGCCTATCAAGAAGGTAAGATTTCCTCACATCTTTATATTTTAAATAAATGTGTGAAAAACAAGATGACAAATGTAAATTGATGAGCTTACATTACATGTGTTTTGGTGAAATCTATATTGGAATTATATCCAGTACTTTTAAGGAGTTATAAAATTAACTCTCATATTCTTTCACTGATTCTATCATATACTTTTATTGACTTAAGTCCTTTTTCCAAAAATAACCTCCTTATTGGATAGCTCTAGAAATGCGAATAATTTTTTTATCAAGGTTCTAGTATTGAACTTTTAGAAACATATACTTTTAGACATATATAAATGAGATTAAACAATCTATCAAATTTCTCCTAAATAATACCAAATGTAATTTCTTCTATTAGAGTGAGTAGAATTAATGTATAGTGAATTGAATATAAACCATTTTTACATTTGGAAAATACTTAATTATTGAATCAATCAAAATATTTTAAGATTTTTTTTAAAGATTTATTTATGCATACAAGAGCTGAGGTACAGCCCAGAGATGTGGGAGGTGAGAGGATTCACCAGAGACATAGTGGGGAAGAGAACAGGCAGACCGACTGAAATACACTGCTGAGGGGAACAGTGGGCGAGACAGGAGAGGTCTGCTATGCCATGTTCGAACTCCCTGGCTGGGGTTCGAACTCTTGCTGCAGTGGCTGCAGATTGCTTCATCGTGAGGTGCTTAACCCCTTGTGCCACCAGGGAGGCCTATAATATTTTAAAATTTTATTAAAAGTTACTAAGGCTGGGGTCTCCCTGGTGGCGCAAGGGTTTAAGTCTCAGCACTTTGATGCTATCAGCAGCCACTGCAGCATGAGTTCGATCCCCAACCAGGGAGCTAACCTACATGGCACAGCAGACCTCTCCTGTCTCGCCCACTGCTCCCCTCAGCAGTGTATTTCAGTCAACTTGCCTGTTTCTGTTCCCCACTCTGTCTTTGGTGAATCCTCTCACCCTCCCTCCGCGCCTCTGGCCTGTACCCCAGTTCTTCTATAAATAGGTAAAAAAATCTTTAAAAAATATATATATATCTCTATATATATCCACACAAGATAAAATTAAGCTATAAACAGGTATTTGGGAAAGTCAAACTATTGGGCAAATGAGTGCAAGCTATAGAATATTAAGTCAGATGAAGTAAGAAGAAAAAGTTCATGTTCATAAGATCTCTACATTTTCTGAATAAGGTCACAAGTTTGGTGCTGGTCTTTTTACTAAAGCAGGAAACTTAATTACACAAGTCACAGTGTTCATGAGATAAAACCTGTCAGTTACTCAGAGGACAGTAATTTTTGGTATGAAATAAAGGAAAAATTTTCCCCATGATTCTTAAAAACAGGGCACTATCATACAGTGTTCCCTCAAACTTAAATAACATATGGATTCCTTTAATGTCAAATTTTTTTAAACTAATCCATAGACTTAAGTGAAAACTCAAGTCTTAGTCTATAAAGATATCTGTCAATTGTGACATTACATATTACTGTAAAATATGGTTTCTTTCAAAATATTAAAAGGTAATTTTTATTATTACAAAATGAAAATATAAAATTTAAACATCTAGAACTTTGGGTTCCTGATTTCATTGTGATTTGGGGCCCCATTTTTAAAGCATTTGCTATAGTGGAATGAAAAATATCCTCAGCAGCTTTTATAGTATTAGTATTTCATGGGACCATTTCTTAAAATATAATAGGCTATAAGCTAATGGCATGAATCCAGTGAATGATTCCATTTAGGTAGATCCGCAGAGAATATTGAACCAGTTCTGTTTATATTCAGACAATTCTTCTTACAGGCATTTCTCCATAAGTGCCCTTTCAATACAGCTTTTTATAAATTAGCAGCAGTGTACATGGGGTTCAGCCATGGTTGATATGTATCTGGAGAACTTTTATTTTGGAGAACTGTAACAATAACTCTGAAATACAAGGTAGAATTGACATCCACTTTTGATTACCTGAGGGACTTCAAAAAGATACTCACCAACACAGAAGACTGTTCCTCTCCAAACACTGATACAGTCCTAAAGAATTAATACAGTCCTAAAGAATTAATACAGTCCTAAAGAATTAATACAGTCCTAAAGAATTAATATCATGGGGCCTCCCCGGTGGCGCAGCGGTTAAGCGCTGGGTTGCGAAGCAGCCCGCAGCCTCTGCAGCACCAGTTCGATCCCTGGATGCTCCCCGGCCTCTGGAGGAGGGACCCACATGGCGCGCAGACCTCTCCTGCCGCCCGCTGCTCCCCTCAGCAGTGTACTTCGGTCCTTCTGCCTGCTCTGCTCCCTGCTCTGGCTCTGGTGAATTCTCTCACCCTCCCGCGCTTCTGACTGTACCCAGTGCTTGTATAAATAAATAAATAAATAAATAATAAAAAAATCTTTAAAAAAAAAAAAGAATTAATATCATGGCCTCCCCTGTGGCGCAGCGGTTGAGCGCTGGGTTGCAAAGCTGCCCGCAGCCTCTGCAGCGCCAGTTCGATCCCCGGCTGCTCCCTGGCTGCTCCCCGGCCACCGGAGGAAGGTCCCGCATGGCTCACAGACCTCTCCTGCCGCCCGCTGCTCCCCTCAGCAGTGTACTTCAGTCCTTCTGCCTGCTCTGTTCCCCGCTTTGGCTCTGGTGAATTCTCTCACCCTCCTGCGCTTCTGACTGTACCCAGTGCTTGTATAAATAAATAAATAAAATCTTTAAAAAAAAAAAAAATCAGATTTTTCTCTAATACACAAATGAAAGGGAGTAAGTTCTTTATGAAAAAGTTTGCCAGTAATTCCAATAAACTTGAAAAAATATAAAGCAATTAAGGCCAAATGACTATCCTGGCCAATTAAAAAAATCTTAGTAAGCCCCTAAAACATTATAACTTATTAATATAGCCATTCATTATACACTGTGCTATCTGAATACACTAGTTTGATTCCCCGACTGGCCAGGGAGCAACCCACATGGCACAACAGACCTCTCCTGACTCACCTGCTGCTCCCCTCAGCAGTGTATTTCAGTAGATTTGCCTGTTCTGTTCTCCTCTCTGTCTCTGGTGAATCCTCTTACCACCCCCCACACCTCTGGCCTGTACTCCAGCTCTTGTATGCATAAATAAATAAATCTTAAAAAAAAAAAAAAAGAAGTATTTAAAAGGCCAGATCATGAAGGACTTGAGGAGCATGGGTTCTAGATTGAGGCGGTGGGGAACTACTGAAAGGTGTTAAGTGCAGCAACTTGGGATAACACTTAGTTCTTAATGAAAGTTCCCCTTTTACTATAGTGTGGAAGATTGTGCTTGCTGTGTAAGATTAAGTCAAGCAGTCTCTTTAACTCAGTCAATAGTATTCTTTTTGAGTAAAGAAAAATTGGAAATATCAAAATGCCTAAATATAGAAATTATTAATTATGTTGTATCCACAACATAAAATACTATGCAGTCATTAAAATTGACTAGGAATGTATCAGTGATTTATTCTTTTTCAACATTATATTGCACAGTTTTCATCATATGAAGTTGAGAGACCTTTGCAGTGATCATCTATCTACAACCGGGGTTCTATCATTAACATTTTATAATCTATCTTTATCACTTATCCATTTTTTCCATTGACTGTGTTTTAAGGGAGAAAACATTTTTATCTCAAAACTGTACTTAGTTGTAGCTATTAAGAATATATCTGTGTGTGTATAGGAAAATAATCTGGAAAGAATTATTAATACTGACTTTTTTTAACTTATAGGTGCTTTTCACTTCCTACTTTATTGTCTGAATATTTTGCAATGAGTATGTGATGCTTTATATGTGGTATGAATTATGTGATAAAAAACTACCTTTAAAAGTATATTAAAGTTTTTTCCCTTTGATGAAAAAAAAAAAACAAAGTTTGTTTTTTTTTACCAAGTAGATAGAGTTTGATTTGAATTCAGTGAATTTTTTTCCTTTTTTCTACAGATAATGATGAATAATTCTCAGAATATCCTTTAATCCTCAACTTATATGAAAGCATTTGAATTTGGATCATCAGAATAACAAACTTCAGTGGGAAATGTAGAAACTATTTATAAAGGTCAGATATAAGGTGGGCATGTTGGTTGCATGGAAAAGATTGAGAAACACTCCATTTTTCAATTAGGAATCTAGCATTTCATTTTAATTTTTTCTCTGCGTTCTATAGTTACCTCCTGTAGAGCATATTTTTGTTAAATTATCCAAACAAAGCATAAGAAACATTGACCCAGAACTGGATTTAATGGTTTTGAAGACTTACCATGTAGTCAGATACCTTTGACTTTTAGCAAATGTATTTAAGTTGAAATAATTGTCTGCTGTAAACGATCTCCCTGTGGGTTTTCATTTAAGTGTTTAAGCATGACCTTTTTCCTGTCTACTTGTTTCCATGGCCAGTAATTCTGAATTAAATAACCTTGTCAAGGGCTCTGTTTAAACCTTTACATGTTAAAGATGGAATTTTTTAGCCTTAAAGTTTATATATCAGTTCTTTTTCAACCATTTTGTCCCCTGAACTAGCTCACTGAAAACAGGCTTATAGGAAGTCTTAGAAATCATTGAAAAAGTAATTATGAAAAGAATAACAAAATTGTATTTCCTGATATTTAAAAAGTTGATAATTCTGTTTCTCTTTGAGGACCAGAACCAAGAATATTATATTTAAAAATTACTCTGTAAATGGTAATATTGACCTAGCATATAACAAAGTTACTCTTTTTTGTTTTTCACTTCCTCTTATGTATGTTCCTCAAGGGCAGTAAGTGAGTAAAAAAAGGAGAATTTTTTTCATTTTGATACTATGACAGTTTGGGTAACTAGTATTCCAAGGGAGGGAAATGTTTGCCTCTTTTACATATTTTCATTATGAGAGGATTTAGTTAGGTCATTAAGATCGTGGTTACAAAGCTTCTGCTGCAATATGCCAAGTATTACCTGGTTTCATTAGAGATGTCTTAAGTCGAATGCTTTTAGTAATAAAACATAATTTTTGAAACTGAGTATAAAGCAATCTACTTGGCATAATCTATAATTTCAAAAATAAAATCTTATCTTGCAGTGCTATCAGTACTATGTGGAATTTCTTATGTATATTATTTCTAACATCCAAAACTACCTGATTTTTATACATTTGTTTATTTTATGATATTACTATTAAATTTTTATTATGTGCGTATAGTATTGTGTTTTATTTATTAGCATTATTCTCAGTAGAGTGCTTTTACACAGAGCTGAAAGTATTCTTGTTTGTTTTAAAGATTTATTTATTTATACAAGAACTGGGGTACAGGCCAGATGTGCGGGAGGGTGAGAGGATTCAACAGAGACAGAGTGGGGAACAGAACAGGCAGACTGACTAAAATATACTGCTGAGGGGAGCAGCGGGCAAGACAGGAGAGGACCGCTAACCATGTGGGTATCTCCACAGCAGGCGGGGATCGAACAGGCACTACAGAGGCTGCGGACAGCTTCACAGCGCTGCGCTCAATTGCCTGCGTCACCAGGGAGGCCCTTGTTTGTTTTTTTACCTGATGATTTTCCTTCTTTTTAATGGAAGAATATTTTAATTCTGCACACTAATTCTCTATAATTCTGAAAGATAAGAATGGTATGGGGGATTATTTGCTAATTTTAAACTATTACAACTACTAGAAAAGTAAGCAAGGTATAACAGTTAAAAAAAGTTAATGGTTAGCTCTCATTTTTCAAAAGATACCATATATGTAAGTAGGAATTGTGCCATCTTGGTCATCCGATAGTGAATGACTCTGAAATGTTAGAGGTTGTCTAAGCTATGCTAAGTGGGGGAAAGGGAGGGATATTGTTCAGTAAGGTCTGTTATAAATGTTGGGGGTGATGTGTGGAAATACCCATAGATTCATATACTGTTAGAGCTAGAAAGAGTTATTAGAATGGTTTACTGTTATCTCCATTTACCAGTCAAAGACATTGAGCACCCTAACCAGGGGATGGTGGGAAGAGAAAAGGACAAAAAAAATCCCTGAGAAGTTGTGACTATAAACCACCCCTCAAGTGGTTTTATATATTGAACACCAAAGCTGGCTGAGCCAGGGAGCAGCAGAGTTAAATATAATTTGAAATTGTTGCTAATTGGTAATGTCCCCAGGAACCTGGCAGAAGCCATTCCAGTGCCTTCTGAAGAAAGGTACATTTGTGTCTTGAAAAGGAGTAAATTTTCAAAAACAATGACCAACATGGAAAGAAAGATAAATTAGTACACAAGAAATCAAGACAGTGTAGAAGTGGGAGATAGCAGGAACAGTATCGGTACCTTTAAATACTGGAATTGTCAATATTGTAAGTCATCTACACTCTCTATGTTTAAAAAATGATCAACAAACTTGAAAATCTGTATTTTATATGTAGATAAAGATAAACTGAAATGTGATATAGATTTGAAGTAGAACCAAATAGAATTCATTTTCATGAAAAACTCAACCCAAATTATAAAACTCACTGGATATTCTTGACAGCAAACTTTACATGACAGAAAAGCATATTCAAGAACTGGATGAGATTATCCGTATTATCACACAGAGCAGGGAAAAGATGGGAAATATAGAAGAAAAGGTAAGAACATAGAGTCAATGTGAAGGTCAAATGTTTATATTTGGAGTCCCATAAGAAAAGAAGATAAAGTTATTTAGAGAAATAAAGACTCAGAATTCTTCATAGCTGTTTAGAAGATGTAAATCCACAGGTTAAAGAAGCCTGGTGAATTTCAGTTAGGATAAAATGAAAGATACAAGGTCTCTTCAGAGAAAAACTGTAGAAAATCAAAGACAAACTGAATGTTAAAAATTGAAGACAAAGGGCCTCCCCGGTGGCGCAGCAGTTGAGCGTTGGGTTGCGAAGCTGCCCGTGGCCTCTGCGGCGCCGGTTCGATCCCCGGCTGCTCCCCGGCCACCGGAGGAGGGTCCCACATGGTGCGCGGACCTCTCCTGCCGCCCGCTGCTCCCCTCAGCGGTGTGCTTCAGTCCTTCTGCCTGCTCTGCTCCCCGCTCTGGCTCTGGTGAATTCTCTCACCCTCCCGCGCTTCTGACTGTACCCAGTGCATGTAAAAACAAAACAAACAAACAAATAAATAAATAAATAAAACATGCCTCTATAAAAAAAAATTGAAGACAAAAAGACATGTTGCCTTCAAAGGAATGTCAGAGTGCCACTTGACTTTTCAGTAGTAGTAATGCAACAGTGAAATGGTATTTTTTTTCGTACCAGAAGAAAATAATTGTCATTCTAGAATTATGTACACAGCAAGAATGTGTTTTAATCCCATTACTGGCCATAATGAAGTAAAAGAGAGAGAACTTACCTTCTTACTTTTCAGCAGCTCAAACACTGCACTAAATAAATGAACCGTTGCTTTTCAGACATGGGCAATGGACATCAAAGGGCAGTGATCTGAAAAAGAAGAGAAACAAGATGTAAGCTCTTTGATTGCCCTAAGTTTACTGCATAGCAATAGCAGTTCTAGGTTCTTCCCAAATTGAGAAGATGGAAGTCAGATTGTGGTGAAAGCTGTCAGAATCTGTAGAACAGAGTATCAGACATGAGTATTGCCCAAAGTGTGTACTCCAGAGATCTCCAGAAGGTTCTCATGTCTTGGGTTGAATACTGAGCAGTGTAGCATACGAGAAACTGTCTAAAACTAGAGAAAAACACTAGAAAGGAGTGGTTGGAATAACCCCTGAATAGTACACAGCACCAAGAGTAGTTTGTATTTCTACTAGCTTGAACCTAACACCTGGAACATAGAATGCAGAAAGGTATTGTATCATTAATGAAGCCAAATAATCCCTAGGTAAAGACTGTTCTGTCCTGCCTGGAAAAACTTATGTACACCTGGAAAGATCATACAGTTTTTCTCTGAACAACGCTTTAAAAGGATTTAAAGAAAACCCTAAAATGTTAGCATTCAATAAAGTACCCAGTCAAAACCTATCAGACATGCAAAGCAACAGGAAAACAGATTCATATTAGGAAGAAAATTTATCAATGGAAATGATAGAAACAATGTAATTAGCAGTCTAGATTATTAAAACAGCTATTATATGTCCCATACATTTAAACTGTAAAAGAAGGCATAAGCATAAAGATGAAAGACCTGGCCCAATTTCTACAGACACACACACATATACCAGGTAGAAATTCTAGGAATGAAAAAATATAAAATATATCTTCTCATCACAATGAAATTAAATACGAAATTCTCAAATATTTGGAAACTAAACATATATCTCAAAAACTCATGGATCACATGAAGAATCAACCAAATTAGAAAATGTTTGAATGAGAAGATGTAGCTAAATTTGTGTGATGTATCGAAAGCAGAACTTAGAGGAAAAGATAAAGCATTAAACATTTATATTGTAAGCAATTTTATACAAGAAGAAAAAAAAAGCAAACTCAAACTAAGGAGGAAAAAGAAATGGTTTTTATAACATACAGGAATCAATGAATTGTAAACAATCAAGCCAAAAGCTAGCTCTTTTAAATACATAAATAATATTATGAATGTGTAGAAATATCAGTAACCAAAAAGGGTATAGCACTATAACCTTAAAAGACACTAAGAGGATGTTAGGGAATATGAAAATTTATGCCAGGGTATTTGACAACTTAGTGATAATTGGCATATTTCTTAGGCAAAAAATTAAGGCTGTCTTAAGTAAAATATTATAAACTCAGTGATTTAAATAATAGACATTTATTTCTCACAGTTCTGGTCCTAGAAATCCAGAACCAAGTTACCAGCTTATTCTGTTTTTGGTGAGGACTCTTCCTGCATTGCGTTTTCATTTTCTCTGTGTCCTCGTAACGCCTTTCAGTTTGTGCACACAAGAGAATAAACGAGCTCTCTGGTGCCTCTTCCTATAAGGACATTAATCACCATGGGATTAGGGAGCCATCCTTATGACTCCCATTAAGCTTAATTACTTCCATAGAAGCCTAATTTCCCAATAACTGGAATACTGAAGATTAGGGTTTCATATCAACTCTGTGGGGAAGGGACAAAACATTCCATCCATAACATTGCCAAGAGCACAGAGAAAATCTGAATAGCCCTATATCTGAGATTAGATTTTACTTTGAAACTTTCTCACAAAAAGAACTTTGGGTGCAGATGGCTTCAATGATGATTTCTATCAATATTTCTGGAAGAAACAGTACCAATTCTACACAAGCTGTTCCAAAATATAGGAGTGCAGAGAACATTTCTCAACTTACTCCAAGAGCACAGCATTACCTTATTCTTAAAAGGCTTACCTTATGCTTAAAAAAACAAAAAGTAATTACAAGAGTACAGACTCATAAACTTTGTGAATTGAAAAAATCCTAACAAAATTTAGGAAATCAAACACAACAATATACAAAAAGGACAATGCATCATGATCAAAAGATTGACCAGGAATGTAAGACTGGTTTAACATGCAAAACTAAATCAATGTTATCTACCATATTAACAGATTTAATAAAGAGCATGTGATATATCAGATGCAGAAAATCATTTGACAAATTATTACATAGACTTTAGAAATAAAAACTATGAAAGAAAAATTTAACAATCAAAATTTATCAACTTTCACTTTTCAAAAGTCATTATTAAGAAAATGAACACTAGTCGTAAAACAGTTTTAAAAAATAACACAGCTTGGGCCTCCCCGGTGGTGCAGCGGGTTGAGCACAGCACTATGAAGCTATCTGCAGCCCCTGCAGCGTGGGTTCGATTCCCAGCCGGCCAGGGAGATACCCACATGGCATGGCAGACCTCTCCTATCTTGCCTGCTGCTCCCCTCAGCAGTGCTTTCAGTCAGTCTACCTGTTCTGCTCCCTGCTCTGCCTTTGGTGAATCCTCTCACCCTCCTGTGCCTCTGGCCTGTACCCCCAGCTCTTGTATAAATAAATAAATCTTTAAAAAAAAAAGCATTAAAAAAAAAACCCAGTTTGACAATTGGTGAAATGCTTGAATGCACAAGGAAAATGCACACATGGCAATCTCATGAAAAGATAACTGTTGTTGTTCATTAGGAAAATGTAAACCAAAACCACTAGATACCACTATGTAGTCTCTAAAATATTTAAAGATGCTTGAGAATCTGATGCAGCAGCAGTTCTCATACACTGCTGGCGGATATGTTAAATG